AAGATTTAGAGACAGATTTCCTTCTACAACTAAGTGGTAGCCAAGCTTATAAAGTGGTTAACACCAAAACTTTCTTTAACAAAAGTTGTTTGATATTTAAAATTAGCTTATAATGACTACATGTAGAAAATGTTAAATATTTTTTTAGCAACCAAGATTCGCTGATGCACTGATGTTGCAAGTGCAATGTTTAACTCATGTTTACATCAGAAATCAAATCTGCTCACTCTTTAGAATAAGTAAACTTAACACTTTTCTTCTAAAACAGTTCAAACATACATTCAGAATGTATTAGTAACTACAAATATGTACTATTTGACATGTGATAATCATACATTCAAATCAAAATCAAAGATGAATAAAAAATTTAAAACGTTATAATTATGATTCCAACATTTATCACGCCATTCAAAAACTAGTGTAGCAATCACATATTTATTTATTTTGTTTTTTTTGTTTTTTAAATCAAGCCAGATTCTTCTAGGATTCAATATTATGTAAGATATAAATAAAACCCATCAAAGTTTAATTTATTGCAAATAGGGAAAAAGGTGAGAGGGGGGCTGACTTCTTGTTGGTAATCTGAATCACCACAGATTTCTGCATAGATTACGTGTTGCTAGCTGAATGCACATCACTTGATGCACTGGAGGTCATGTTGTAGCCATCTAAAAAAACCAAACAAACAAAAAAAAAGCAAAACAATAATAGAACAGTTATTCTGTGTTGTGTGAATTTGAAAAAATAAAATACAACAGTAGGAACAGTACTACACCAGGAAGCTGTAGTTTCGGTGGCAGTTAAAATAATTGTATGAATAAAAATGTTTAAAAAATGACATTTTGTATCTGTTGATGCGCCACCCATCTAATTATTATTTTCCCGGTTGGACTGCCTGATCAAAGTACAAGCACACCTAAAAACACACAGTTTTCACTTCATTTTTATATGGAACCTTAATTGATTAATTTCCTTGATGGTTCTTTACCTCTTCCACGTCTCCAGTTCCTTAGAAATCGAAGTCCACTTGATGTTGAATTTCCAGCACTTGTGCTCTAAAAAAACAAAATAAAAATAAATCATACAATATTAACAAGAAGCAAATTATCGGTGATTCCTAAGAAAGGAAAAAAACAAGGAACATGAAGCCCATGACTAGGAAACCTGTTCTTACCCCTGTCCTACTTCTGGAGGATTGTGACCATGATGCTATTGCTGACCGCACCTGATAAATGAAATGTCAAATGTTAGATTACTAAAATGGAAGTCACAGAAATTTGTTCTTAAAATTTAATTTATTCATGTGGCCAAGCCAAACACTACAAGCAAACCATCTTCTATTTTTGCACTTCTGTGAAGATGTTCATTGTGCTGTTTTGTGTGCTTGTATGGAATGCGACCACATACACATAACTGTTAGTTATTGAAGTGTGGGCCTGTCTCCTACTTTCATGCTCAAGTCTGAGTAGTCATTTGAATGGACTTACAGAGAAACCAAGAAGTCTCAAGAAATGTAAAGGCGGAAGTTTGACTTGACAAAGGACGATTTTAGTGTAATATTATTACAATTTATAGTCTTTTGTCAGTAAAGATCAGGAGACAAATACTACATTTCTTTCCAGTACACACTTGGTTGTTAAACCAAATTGATATCATTTACCTTTAATTTTTAAGTAATTCAGGAATAATCATATATTCATTCGTAAACATCATTCATATATAAATTATTATTTTTCCTTGAAATAACCTGCACTAAAATTGAGCTGTACGTACCTTTCCGTCCAGCAGTGTTCCAAATACCAAAATAAAGAAACCCTTTTTAAAAACAGAGTAACATTAGTTATCAAGGATTCAGTGATTAAAGATGCTACTATCATGGTATACAGATAGGGGAAAAATGAATTTGTACCTGTAGCGAATTGAAGAATGCAAATGCAATATGGATTCCTTCATTTGTTGGATCAGCCAGAATTCCAGCTCCCAAACCCCAAGTTATGCCAAAAAATGGTGTGAGCACAGCCAAGCTTTTGGCAATAACCACTAAGACGTGCTTTTCCTCTGCTTGTGCAGCAGTTGTTCCAACCCTTCTCCTTATGATTTTGTACAAAACCACAACCAGGATAATGAGGTTTATCACCACTATTAAAAGTGCAGGAATCACAAATGCCAGCAGAGCTTTGGACTTATCCCAGTTGAGCCAGCATATGGTATTTTCTCGAATGTATCCGTTGTCAGGTGCAGTTGCAGCTATAGTTACTGTTGCAATGATGAGAGGAGCTCCGTAGCCTAGAAAAAATCCAATGGCCAGCATAGATGCTTTAGACAAACCCCCACCAAAAACATTAGTTGTACGGTAGAGCAGCAGCATAGCTGAGGCCAGCATCCAGAAGAACAGGGCTAGGTAGAAAAAATGGATAAAAAAGGTAGCTGCAGTGCATGCTGGGGGGTTTTTAACTTCTGCATCTGAAATGGCCGCTCCAATGATAAACCAAATGTTTGCAATCAGGAGGGAAACGGCGATGTTAACAATGGCAACATGACGCAAGTAAGAGGTTTCATTCTTTCTTATTTTTCTCCAAATGAGGCCTTCAATGATGAGACATATGACCAAGGATCCCATTGAAATGCCAACTCCAATGTAGGTTATAATGTCCAAATAGGGTTTCTTCGGACTGTTCGGTGACATGAGGATGGAGAATGAGGTCAGGTGGTTGCAGTTGCAGGTGACAGTTTCTGTTTCATTTATGTTTAACACTAACTCGCAGCCCTTGCCGTCCCATCCTCCCAGACCATCAAAGAGGCTGAAGTTCCAGAAGACACATTCAGGGTTTTCCAGTGTATCATTTAAAATATCATATGTGAAAGAGATATTATTGATTTGGCCACTGGACTGAACAAGTACAACCCTGCCATTTATGGACTTGAACGATGAATTGGCCTCATCTCTTGCAAGTAGTACGTTATCTAACGAGTTAAATACTATCATAGTGATTGTTTTGTTATCTCCATTAGACTCTGGTATTTGTATTGTCACTGAAGAATTAAATTCAGCATTGAAAGTGTCTGTGAATGTAGTTTTGTTTAACTGAATAAAGCCTGTCATAATCTCAAAAGTTGCATTGACAAGACGAGATGTTATTATTTCAAGGGAGTCCAAAAATGATGAGCTAACACTTTTAACATCAGTGTTGTTTGAGATGCTTTTGGTGTCATTGTTATTCAGAAAGTTCCATGTTTGCTTTGTTCCATTGATGGTGAGAACCCCTGCTGTTATCAAGACATTCTATAGTAAAGAGAAAAGAATGATTTTAGATTAAAAAAACTAACTGTTCAGAATGTGAAAACGTCTGCAATCTAATCAACATACCTCCATTGAATCTCTGCTAATTGAGATATTGAGGGATGAAGATTTGTTGGCGACATTGCTGAGTATTCTCACAATAGCTTTAATGTTTGGAGGAGATGTAATCACTTCTTCAGTAAAATTGACAGTGACGTTCTTGAGCTGTTCCAAAAATACTGGCAATGTAGCGGCAGTCAAGAACTGTGAGATTTGAACAGAGGCATGTTAACTCCACTTAATAATTTTATATATTCTACTTATTTTACTTTCTTCTAGTTTTCCTGCTGGTTTAAGCACAAGTGATGCACTTGCTTTAAAATCACATATGAGGCTTCTGATGCATTTTTCTCATTCCCTTTTTAAGGAGAACACTGGACCACACACACACAGGACCACTGTGCATCAACAGTACAGATATTCATTGATTACATACAGCCAATATACTGATATATAATTATTATTACACATAATTATTTGCTAGTCTTGGTACCCGGGAATCAGTCTGCCAGGGCCTCTGCTCCCATTTGACGTGCGACACCCATTGCAGCTGACCCCCAATGGTACCTCCTACAGGACTGTGGGCCTACAGGAGGATGAGCCCATGTCCCTTTTGCAGGCTGTGTCTGGCACACTATGTGCAGAGGTGTCCAGTGACCATATGATTTTTCTATTTCATGGCTGACTGTGGACTTTAGGAGGACCATGATATCACCACAACATAAATACCTCAGAGAGAACACTGACAATAAAGTGGAGTGGGTTAAAAACACAACTGCACTTTACAGGAAGGGCCAGAGTTTTCTCTATTTTCTTTTAACATCTGTTGGATAATACTCTATGAATCTGTTGTGGGCAGTGCTTTCCTCTGTGATGTTGCATGCTGTACCCATTTTAGGTGGTGTTGGGGAGTAGGATGGTATCTAAGATAAGTTCAATACAGGCCAATACCTCCCACCAACTCCATCACAGTTGCCAAATTAGGGTTTGGCTCGGACCATTACTACATCTGAACTCTGTGTATTTTATACATATGTACACACACACACACTTAATGATGTGCATACATTATTATAGTTGTACATATATTTATTCTTATAATTCTTATTCCTATTCTTGTAATTCTCTTGTTTCTTGCATTTTGCACAAGACTGTTGCTTGAAGCTTGCACACAAGAATTTCACTCGCATGTGCTGTACCAGTGTACCAGTATATTGTGATGTGACAATAAAAGTAATTTGATTTGACTTGCATTGTGTTGCCTTAATTGAATCAATGATTCATTATCTGTTGTTGGAAACAACCAGAGCGCTAGGTTACCTGGGACTGGTCAAGCAGCTCCTGAACTGGCAACAGGATGCAGTTGTATTCAACATCGTCAAATTTCCTATTTTCCTTGCACACTGCAGTTATTTCTCCCACCTTGTTTGGTCCCACAAATTTTGGATCACAGGGCACTGCAGCTTTGTAACCTATATCTCCTTGGCCAAATGTGTCATTTGTACAGTAAGCACCTATGCAGAGAGAGAACAAATACATCATCAGTTTTAATATGTATTTTTCATTTTGTATGTATGAATGCATGTTCATGATCATACTTGTGAATATCTGAATGTATTAAGTAATACTCACTCTGTGAGGATAACTGTAGTGTTATTCTATTTGCATATGAAGGTTGGTTTTTTAACTGACAGATGACTGTCTTTTCCCCTTGTTGACAACCTTGAGGTGTAGGATAATTATAGGTAATCGAAGTACCAGTGCCTAAACAACAACAATAAAGGTAAGTTAAAAATATCCTAGAGAGTAGAACAATAGCAAGACCAAAAAGTTACAAAATAATATTAATTGCATTAAATATGCTTTTGTGAAAAATGCTGTGATATAAAATGTTTCTCAGTAACAGATTTGCCTTTTGTTGATTTTTGTGTTTTTGTGTCAGGCTTACCTGCTGCAGAAATGTCCCGAAACTGAACCTCATACCCATCATTCACACTGCACTCCAGAGCCACACTTCCTCCAGAACATTGCACATACTGTCTGATTGGTGAGACTGTGATTGTGGGTTTTGTTTTCAGACTGAATGATGTTTCAGATTTCTGACGAAAAAATGCTTTGTCATTTGTGCGCATCAGCCGACATTCATAAACTCCTGTAATTAAAAGTGAAAATTTCAAATTAAACCAACAAAAGAGGTATAAAATATTTATAATAACAACAACAATAACATTTTTGGAATACTCCTGGTTTTCCGCCCTCATACACTGAAACTTTACTTTTTAGCAATCCAACCCTAATTTTTCTGGGAATAACCAACTGCGATTGTGTAAAAATATAGCTTAAATGCTTAAAAGCAGAACATATTACATTCTGTATTGAAATGAAAGGACTCTTTACAATGTATTGTGAGGGGAAAAAAACTGGACTGCACAGAACTAAAAAGTAGAATATCAGCTCATTAATAATAAAATAGTACAGTAAAAAAAAAACACCCTAATACTCTGTTTGGCCACAAATTGTTATAAACTGCACACCCGTTATAATGTGCTTGCAAACCCAAGAGGGGAAACTGTTTGTCTGCCCCCAACCAATGGCGGTACTCTTTTGCATCACTAAACTATTATTTGAGAAGTGAGCCATAGAAACTGGGAAAAACTGTATATCAGAATATTAGTGTACCTATAAATGTCACGTCCCTTTGTTTAGATGCTATTGTGGTCCTTAAATCACTGGTTAAAATGCATATACTGCTCACATGAAGTGTAACAGCTCAGCAAAGGAAAACATTTTTTGGCTTTTGTACCATATTTCTTTTGTATGATCTGTGTTGTGGATTTTTTGGATGACATGTATACCTATACACTATATATCTATCTGCACTGAACATATATACTGTATACAGAGTCTTCCGCACCAGACATTTTGCTCTCATCAGAGTTTATTGCGGTGGTTCAGTAACATGGCAGAATTCTTCTGCACTGTATTTCTGTGAGAGACTTAGGCACAACCATTGGATACCTCTTCAATACATAAAATAATTGTGGTGGTATATTTACTACACTAAGACAGACTGCGCTATAATTATTTTTGGGTGAAACTTTCTCTGCAATTTGTTCTTTTCAAAAGCGGGTCAGACTGATTGATGCACTGACAATGCTTGCGTTGCACTGTACGATGAATTTTACCCAGCCAATCAGAATTTTGCTGTTGCTCTGGCCTGAGTACTAAGAGAAAACTGTGATGCAGAACTTTAATTTTAATTTTAATTAAACAAATTCTATTAAAATGTATTCCTATTGAATGCAGCAACCCATTTCTTACCATCGTCAGCGCTAATAAACCTGGACACAGTTAAGGTTGATTTTCCATCCTTAAATGAAATTCTGTGTCCTCCATCTTCAGATATGAGCACCGTATTACGTCTCCACTCTGCTGCTGAGACAGTGCCAAAATCCCCTAGTGGAGGGCCACATGTTACAGTCACTGTTTGCTCATAAAATCCATCATTTGGCGAAAATGTCAGGGGACCCGAGGCTTTAAGGACAAAAATGTCACACAATTATTAAACAACTATCTGGACCAACAAATATTCACAACATTTGAAAGCATAAATGTAAAAAACTACCTTACCCTCAAATATTACAGGATATAATTTTGCCAGGTTGTTGGCTATTTTTAAATTTAGTGCCTGAAAGTCTGGTGTAATAGAAGAGGGACCACTGACTTGATATTGGGCAATGGTACTTCCACTCCTGCAACAGAGAACAGAATTCCTTTAAAAAAAATGTAACCACAAAAGAGTTGCCAACTCTTAAGTTCTCACATGCTATGTTCACTCACACAGGCCAAACAAGTTTCATCTCAAATAACAAAAACATTAAATGCCTTTAGTTATGGCAAAAAAAATAAAATAAATAAATTACAGTAAATTGCAAATAATTAACAATTATTTTTTTCTCTACTGGGTAAAGGCTAAATGTCAGACTATTTCCAGATTATATGTTTTTAGAATGAGCAGTAGAGACAGTTTTACTGCATGTTGAGTTTTCCCTCAGTCACATTAATTTACAACTTAACAGATGGAAATGTTTACAGTAATGTCTTAATTGTGATGAAAGTAATAAACAGAATGATTGACAAACTGCAGCTTTTGCAAAGTCCAGAACCCACCAGGAATGAATTTGACATCTTGCCGGCAATGCAAACCAACCATTTGTTTGTGAGGCCAGATATCTTGCAACAATGGGTCCATATTCATGAGCCACAATGGCCAACAATGGGCCACAGAACACCCTGAGGACTGCAGTTAAAGGCCTTCTCTAGGTCCTGAAATGTTGAACATATAAATTCCTCACTCGACCTGCGAGCAGTCTTTATCCTTCAAGCTCAGATCCTGGCAGCTTGAGGGCCATGCACAGGGGATCTTTGCTGTTGCTAGGACTGCGCACTTCTGGATATAGTTGTCAGATGTTTTTCCTGGGATCTGCTGGACCCTTTTTCCCATTTTAGGAATCACTGCCCCGGGTGCTGTGATTACCACTGGGACCCATGTTGCGTTTAGATTCCACAACATTCTTATTTAAAGTAAGGCTCCATTTTAAAACAAAAGAAAATAATAAAATTTGAAAATTTTGTCCTTCAAATTAAGTGGCTAACCTCAGAAAAATTAAATGAATTGGGAAAGAATTTAAATTTCCCCTTTTGTGTTTCACATCCTGACTAAACAGTCTCAACCAGTTTTGTAGATAATAAATCTCATCTTAAGTCTTAATAACTATAGAGTAGCAGGGGCTCACTTTCTCCCCCCTCTTTTAATCAACTTCCCTACTAACTAAGCTCTCGCTTTTGCTGCCAGGATTTTAAACCTGGGCACATTCTCATTTGCCTATTTCAAGCCTGGACCGATATTTAGTTTTGATTAAGTTCACTGTGCAGAAAACTCACATTTGTGTGTGGTGCCACACATGGTTAAGATGGATAGGGTGACTTTACTCATAATGGAGGAAGTTATCTCAGGGTGCATTTGGAATAAAAAATGGCAGTTTCTAAGGCCCCAGGCATGTAAAGGTTGTTCTACTTCTTTACTCTTTTGTGTACTTCTTTCTTGGTTGGTAACTAATCTCATAGGGTGGGGATGATGATATTCCCCCCATAACACTTTTGCATAACGTTTTTGCAAAATCCGTTTTTGTGAACGGACTTTGCAAAAACAAGTGGAATGTTTCAATAACCATACCATAAAAGGAGTGAAGAAAAAACCTTGTTAGGAATTGTGTAGTAATAAAAAAAGACACTGTGAGTTACCGGAATTTAATTAATTTTGCTTGTATTCCTTGATTCAGTCCTTCTTCTGTGATCTGTTTGAGACAGTGGCAAAAACAGGGAATAAATATTAGTAGAAGGAGAAAAAGAGAAAACTAAATAACAAAGAAAAAAAGGCAAAGACTTACGGTGTTGCTAACAGTTTTGTGAAAGTCATTGGTTTCTTGATTGTATTCTTCCTTGAATTCAACATCCATAGTTATTTCAAATGTCTGTGTCATTGGTGTAGTTGTTGTGGTTGTTGTTGTTGTGGTTGTTGTTGTTGTTGTTGTTGTGTTTGGCATTGTTGTTGTTGTTATGTTTGGCATTGTTGTAGTTGTTGTTGGTGTTGGCATTGTTGTAGTTGTCACTGATGGTAATGTAGTTGTATTTGGTGTTATACATGGATTGAAAGCTGTGGAGAATAAATTAAGATCCAAGAAAAAAGAAGGAAATTAACACCAGAGAATTCCAACAGAAATAAATGTATTAAAGATATATTTGAATACATCATATTCAGGTCACATAAAAATTATTTACTGAATTCTTACTTGAGATTGGTTCACAAATTTCTCCACCAGGAGGAAGCTTGTTGATGCACCCACAGGTTTCTGAGGTGACATTACTGCATGCACCATATTCGTCACACTTGTCACATGACCAAGCAAACTGGTCCTCACACTGACACTGCTGCCCTCCCGTAGAGACTGGAGAGCACCCTTTTCAAGACAGTTAAAAGAATGACAAAACAAAGCTCATTCATATAGCACTATATAAAAATAGCGCAAAAATCACATAAATAAGATCAAGTCCTTACATGTGGTGAAGTTCAAGTCTTTTACTGTTAAAAACTCAATTTGAGGAGAGATGACATTTTTCATAACGTCTCTGAGTACAACAGTGATATTTGGGGGCACATTGGTTGCTGAGATGTGCAATTCAACTGCTATATAGAAGACCACTGGTGCTGTGAAGGAGAAAATGAGTGAATGCATCACATGAACCTGTCACAATGATGGGACACAATAAAATGTTGACAACAAGCTCCCATATCAAAAAAAAAAAGCAATTTCCACATGGTCAAAATCCTGTTGGCAGCAATCTACAATTAAATTTACCCCAGCTCTCAGTTACATGAGTCACTTGGCAAACAGATTCATTTTTAGATAATTTAAATAGCTGTATTGTTACAACAAAAGAGATTCGATTTATTTAGATTTTACAATGCAAGTGATAATCTGGAGCATTGTACATTTCAAATATCATACCATTTGTTGATGTAGGTGTTGTTGTTGATGGTGTTGTGACTGTAAAAAAAGAAGAAAAAAAAAGCAGCAGTTCAGGTTTCACCATACTTTTAAATATGTATATTTTTTCTTTTCCCACGCAGCCAGAGAATCTAACGTACATGCTGCAACACTACATATTATATCTTAAACCCAAGTGTTTGCTTTATGGACATGAAACAGAACACTTAAAATCTTTTCAATCAACATATGAGCAGACATGTTGACACACATATTTATTGACAGTTGAAGTGATTTGGTCTGATATTAACACTGTGTGAGCTTTGACACAAAAGCATTTTAAATTTATACAGTCCTGATCAAAATTTTAAGACCACTTTAAAAATGGCAAAAAATCATATTTTGCATGGTTGGGTCCTAACAATGTTCTTCAACGTGCAACAAGAAGAAATGGAAATGAGACAATTCACTTTTTGAGCATGCAATTTATTGAAAACAATGCTTACACTGAAACAGGCTGTTTAACAGCTGATCAAAAGAACAAAAATCAGAGTTTCAAACATGATCTCAGTAATGAGTAGCTCCACTGTTATTGTCGATCACTTCAAAAATTTATTGCAGAATCCTTGATGCAAGCATTTCCAGGAGGTGAGTGGAAACATTTCTCCAAGTGGTGAAGACAGCAGCACCGTGGACATCTACTGTCTGGAATTGTTGTCCATCTTTTAAACTTCCCTTGCCATCCATGCCCAAAGGTTCTCAATTGGATCTAGATCAGGGGATCACGTAGGATGGTCCAAAAAAGACTGATGTTATTCTCCGGAAAGAAGTCCCTTGCCCTTATGTACTGTAGCGTTGTCCTGTTGAAAATCCCAGTTGTTACCACACAGACGAGGGCCTCAGTCATCAGGGATGCTCTCTGCAACATCTGGACATAGCCAGGGGCTGTTTGACACCCCTGCACCTCCTGAGGCTCCATTGTTCCACTGAAGAAAAAGAGCACCCCAGACTATTATGGTGCCACCACTGTGGTGCATAGAAAACATCTGAAGTGGCATCTGCTTGGATTTTTTCTCTTCAGAGAATAAAACTTTCTTCCACCTTTCAATGTCCAGTGTTTGGTGCTCTCTTGCAAAGTCCAAACAGTCAGTTCTGTGGCGTTCCAGGACACAAGGCATTTGAAGATGTTTTTTTATATTTGAAGCCCTTCAGTCTCAGATGTCATCTGATGGTTATGGGTTTGCAGTTGGCACCAGTAACGGCCTTAATTTGGGTCGCGGATCGTCCAGTGTCTTGAGGGACAGCCAATTGGATCCTGTGGCTCACTGCAGGAGAAATTGTTTGTTTCTTCCACTCGACTTTTTTGTTCCATAACCCTCAGAATCATTTAAGAAATTCCAAATGACTGTCCCACCTCAGCAACGATGGTGCACTGCCAGAGACCCTGCTTATAGTGTTTAGCAACCAGAGCATGTTGAAAAAGGGAAACATTTTTTGCCTTTCCCATCAGAACTTAATGACAGTGTGACAGAAAATGACAGTGAATCCACATTTTTGCAAAGATCTGGCATTTTAAAGGCAAGTGGTCCTAAACTTTTCTTAAGTTGTAAAACAGCCTGTTTCAGTTTAAGCGTTGTTTTCAATAAATTCACGTTCAAAAAAATGTATTTGTGTCACTCCCGTTTCTTCTTGTTGCGTGTTGAAGATCTACCTGAAATCTTGTTATGATCCAAACATGCAAAATATGATTTTCTGAGATTTTTCAAGTGGTCCTAAACTTTTGATTGGGACTGTACATGAATATATAAATAAAAAAAATAACAAAATCAAATAAAATGCAAGTGATGATCAGGCGCTCACAAAAACATTTATGCTTTACATTTCATACGTCATACCATATGTTGTAGTAGGCATTGTTATTACTGGTGTAAAAGCACACTTTTCTTATATTTCAAATTTCTCTTTTCTAAATGCAGCCATATAAATGTGTTGGTACAACAAAAGTGATTCACGTTTTAGATTTTACAGTGCAAGTGATAATCTGGAGCTCACATACAAACATTCATTCTTCACTTTACATTTCAAACACCATACCGTTTGTTGCTGTAGTTTCTGGTGTTGATGGTGTTATGGCTATAAAACAGGAAAAAAAGCAGCAGTTTAGATTTCAGCATACTTTATTTGTGCTGTAGATTAATATTTTTAAATGCAGCCACAGAATCTAATTTAAATTATCCTTGCAATGTACATATTATGTCTTTAATATCAAGTGTTTGCTTTAAGGACAGGAGTGCTGTGCTTACATATCATCACCTTATAAGCCTTGGTGAAATTGTTGAAAGACTTTAGGTTAGTAAATACAGTGACTACAACTTTTTAATGATATTTACTGCAAAACAATACTTTAAAGAAGGAACAAGGAAAGCAAGAATTGTTCACATACCTGGAGTTGTTGTTGGACATGGAGAAATATCTGTGGAAGAAATTCAGGGTTGCAATGTTTATTTTTTAGTATATGACAAAAATGATTAACAGCAAAGAAGACAAAAAAACCCCACAAATGACAAAGACAAAAAAAAACCAAATACAAGAACACCGTTATTTTTAAAAACAGAAAGTTTACACCGAAGTTTAATAGATGATTCTAAGTAACCATAGCTATATATTGATGAGCACATCCTGGCCTGATACATTCAATAAGGTCTTTGGTGACAGCACTTTTCTGTAGCAACCCCGAGAAGATTTCAGTGCTTACTTGTGATTGGTTTACAAAACTCTCCATTAGAAGGACGGAAATATCATCGAATTTTATGTGAAGAATAACATGAAGATGTAATGAAGGGATTTTAGAGTTTAGAGTGGGCGAGTAGGGATAGATATAGATAGAATAATGTGGTGTGGCTTGACATTGGGTGAGTCTATTTAAGAAATTGGATGCATTCCACTTTGCAATAAGTGAAATTCACCACGGACCATGATGGACCTTTTGTGCATTTCCACAAAAGGTATTTAAGGTATTTATTTAATCAGCAACACTGCTCTTATCATCTTAATTCCCATAGAAGCAGTAATATTTTATTAACAGCAGCTTACTTGCGAATTTTAAGTAAGCTCAACAAATATAAGCAAACACAAATTTTGTCTGTGCAGTTTGGATCATGGAGTATCTTGCTATTGCAAATGTACCGTTTCTCTATTTTCTATGGAGAGTAAACAGGAACCTTAATATGCAATAAACAATATAGAGAAAAACATAAGATAGAGAGGACTGGAGAGAAGTTGAAGCTGAAGTTTTGTTTTTTTTGCCATACTGTAAAAAGAGTTTAAAAAACAAAACAGGATAATAATTATTTTTGGTTGGTTTGCATTATTGGGGGTGTCTGTGCTGCAGAGCAAGGAGTTAGAAACTGGCTGTGACAGAGGCTTACTTGCGATTGGTTCACAGAACTCTCCACCAGGAGGAAGCCCTTTGATGCATTCACAGGTGTGAGAGGTGACATTATTGCATGCACCGTATCGGCCACACTTCTCACATGACCAGGCAAACTGGTCCTCACATTGACACTGCAGTCCTCCAGTGGAGTTTGGATAGCACCCTGATAAAGACATTTAAGACAATCACCAAACACAGCTCATAAATCATGCACCAGAGTATGAACACATTTAAATGTGACTGAGCACAAAATTCTTACATGTGGTGAAGTTCAAGTCTTCTATTATTAAAGACCCAGTGATGTTTTGGGGAAAGGACACATTTCTCACATAGCCTCTGAATAGATCAATGAAATTTGGGGGCAGACTGGATATTGGGAAGAGCAAGTTCAAGTCTATATTAAACTCCACTGGCTCTGTAGAGGAGACAAGGAGAAAATCGTCACAAAACTCTTTCACAATTATGAGAAACAACATTTACATAAATTGTTTATGAACAAACATCCCATCTAACATGTTTCTACTTCTTTTGAGATGTACAGGATCAGAAGAAGTACAGAAGTGAAGGGCCACACTTTTTAATTCACATTTTTTTCAGCTCCATTGTGACAGGTGTAAAAAAAACAAAACAAAAGAGCACCTAGCCATGCAGTCCACCTTTTTCAAACATTTATGAAAGGATGGATCTTTCTAAAGAGCTCACTAACTCACTAACTACAGAGGTCCAAACCTCCTCTGGCATGAGCTTAAAGACATGAGTTTCCTTGGCTGGGCAGCTGCAGCTGCTCCAATCGAACATAAATTAGTTAATTTTAAAAAACAACATTGATTTTGATGCAAATGTTTATTATAATGATGAATAATATTCTAAATGTTATTCAAGAAGAAATGTAATAGTATTTACATATTGCATTTAAATAGTAGAAGCATTTATATAAATCTTGTTGAAAATGTAAATTATTTAAAAACATTAACTCATCGGTTTCAATTGACCTAGTAAACCTAGTCAGATTACCAAAGAAAGTATAACCCTTATTAACAAAATGGTTTTTCCAAATGCTCATTTTTCAATAACAAGTGGATTAATTTTAAGTGATGGTAGTTATCATATTCTTGTTTTTTGGATTATACATGATTCAGATGTCAAGTGTTCATTTAATGTGAGTGAACCACCTTAAAAATGAGTCACAAGAAAGAATTATGGCATTGAAGACTGATCAAATAAATGAAATTTAGAATGATGTATCCATATTGATGACCCATGTCAAGCATATAATGTATAATTAGGAAATGCTGGTTGAAAGAAAAAAAAAATGTAAACTATTTTTTAAAATAGTGAGAATGTCAGAGTATTGAATATTAAAAAGTCTTGAAGATATCAAAAAATCTTTTGTAAGAATAAGTACAAAGTGGACAGCTCAGATTTACTTGCTCAATACTAATAATAATAATAATAATAATAATAATAATAATAATAATATAGTCCTGCTGCAGTTGATTTAAGAACTTGGTGCAGCAGCTCTACACCAAGTAGAGCTTGGTGAGTAATTTCCAAAATCCTCACTATTTTGCTAAAAGAGAGACTCTACTGACACACTAAAATAATAGGCTTATTTCTGCTAATATCCACAATCTAATTTGTTCAGTCACTACACAGAGTTCATGACAACAACTCATGGTTAAAACCTGGATCGAATGGAACAAATGCTTTGACCACATCAGGTAGCAATTCCTAAAAAAACGTCAACTCTACAAGAACATCGGAGTTGATCCAGATCCACTTAAAATGATGGGCACAGCTGAAAACAAAAGACAGAGAAGATATGAAGGGGACAGAACACAGAGTAGTTTTAGTGTCCAGCCATAGATACTCAGGGATAGCAGAATGGTAAACTGAATATGTAATGGCGACAACCAAAACAGCTTTGAATTTTTTGTTCCATAACCCTCAGGATCATTTAAGAAATTTCAAATGACTGTCTTACTATGGCCCACCTCAGCAGCGATGGTGCGCCGTGAGAGATCCTGCTTATGCAGTTAAACAACCCGACTACGTTAAACAAAAGAAACCTTTTTTGTCTTTGGCCATCGGAATTACAGTGTGACTACCTGACAGAAAATGACAATGAATCCAGCAGTAACACAGCCCGTTTCAGTTTTTTTCAATAAATTGCATGCTCAAAAAATGATTTATCTTATTCCTATAAAGGAGTTCGAGTCTCCAGAGGGAAAATCCTGGGGTTCTGTCCAGCGACCGCTCACTGTTTGTGTCCAGGCTTTATTAAATGAAAACATCCATTACACTCCCATTCTGTCTTGTTGCATTTTGAAGCTCCACTTGGAACCTTGTTAACATCCATCCATGCAAAATATGATTTTTTGACTTTTTGCAGGTGGTCTTAAACTTTTGATTGGGACTGCATATGAATATATAAAGTATTAACAGAGATTAAATTTATTAACAAAATCACATAAATAGGGTGTAGTTGCAGATCATTTAAATACGGATGTCGTTACAACAACAGTCATGCAGTTTTTCAGAATTTAAAGTGCAAGTGATGATCAGGCGCTCACACAAAAACATTTATGCTTTACATTTCATACATCATACCATATGTTGTAGTAGGCATTGTTATTACTGGTGTTGTGACTGTGAAAACAGAAAAAAGCAGCAGTTCAGATTTCAGCACACTTTTCTTATATTTCAAACTTCTCTTTTCTAAATGCAGCCATATAAACAGCTGTGTTGGTACAACAAAAGTGATTCACGTTTTAGATTTTACAGTGCAAGTGATAATCTGGAGCTCACATACAAACATTCATTCTTCACTTTACATTTCAAACACCATACCGTTTGTTGCTGTAGTTTCTGGTGTTGATGGTGTTATGGCTATAAAACAGGGAAAAAAGCAGCAGTTTAGATTTCAGCATACTTTTTTGTGTTGTAGATTAATATTTTTAAATGCAGCCACAGAATCTAATGTACATCACCCTTGCAACATTACATATTATGTCTTTAATATCAAGTGTTTGTTTTAAGGACATGAAGCAGAACACTTAATGTGCCGTGGTTATATATTATCACCACATAAGCTTTGGTGATATTTATATTTGACTATATAAATTATTAACAATTAGTGTTAATTAATTTATAATAATGTATAATTATAAGTAATTATTTATAATAAATAATTTGTGTTAATTAATTATTAACACAAATGACATTGTTGAAAGACTTTAGGTTAGTAAATACAGTGACTGCAAATTTTGTAAAGATATTTACTGCAAAACAATACTTTAAAGAAGGAACAAGGAAAGCAAGAATTGTTCACATACCTGGAGTTGTTGTTGGACATGGAGAAATATCTGTGGAAGAAATTCAGGGTTTGAAAATGTTTATTTTTTTAGTATATGACAAAAATGATTAACAGCAAAGAAGACCACAAATCAAAAATGAAAAACGGAGAAAAAAGGAAAAAAGATCAAGAACGCGCCGTTATTTTTAACAACAGAAAGTTTACACTGAAGCCTATGTTTGATAGATGATCCTTTGTAACCATAGCTATATGTTGATGAACACCTGCTGGTCAGATACATTTATTAAGGTCTTTGGCGAAAGCACTTTTCTGTAGCAACAGCTAGATTTCAGTGCTTACTTGTGATTGGTTTACGAAACTCTCCATTAGAAGGACGGAAATATCATCGAATTTTATGTAAAGAATAGCATAAAAATGTAATGAAGGGATTTTAGAGTTTAGTCTGGGCGAGTAGGGATAGATATAGAAAGAATGATATGATGATGATTTTAAGTAAACAATGTGACTGGATGTGTACATCTGTATTGGTGTATTTGTAGGTGGTATTCCTTTGAGACCTACTTTTAGGCCACTAAAGCTGACCCAGTTAATTAAACTAATGCACCAATCTCAGGGGGAGTGTGGCTGACAGGACTCAACCTGCAAGGCTACTCAGTTTAAAATGTTTGAATGGGTCATTCTGAAAAGCTCATGAATTCTAGAAAGGGTGGTATTGTGATCGTAATAAACAAGTCTACTTAAGAAATTGTATCTCTTCTCTATGTTTCATGATATCTGGGAGTGGTAATATCACAAAGTGGATGCATTCAGCTACAAGTAGTTCATTTGTGATCAGGTCACAGAACTCTCCAGTGAGAGGAAGCCCTTTTATGTACCTGCAGGTTTGTGAGGAGACATTATTGCAGAGTGCAAGATTTTTAAAAGGAGAATGGGAGGCAGGATCTTCAGTTTTCAGACTCCTCCTCAGTGGAAGCATAAAACCAGCTCCAAGATTGGATTTGGGAGGCACTCTCTCTCTAACTTTAAAATATTCCTTTTTGACAGTTAGGAATAGTTGTTTTGAAATGGCCTTAGAATATTTTAAATTGGATGGGAATAATCAGGAACACTATTAATTACGTTTGGTTAAGAAGTTTATTAAATTAAATTTGTATGAGATAAATTCATTAAAGTGTTGGTTAATTCTTTCTTGTTGCCAGTCTGGAATTGTTTGTGGTGGAAGGTTTGGAGATACTCCTTAAAAACAAGAAAGTAAAGCCATCCCACAGGCCCGTGTACACCCTCAGAAACAACCCTTTTGTCCGTCCCATCATGGCTATGTGGCCATGGTGAGAATTAAGTCAACACAAGGCGTTTAGCAGTATTGCTGAAGAGAAATGGGAGTCAATGGAGTTATTTTGTTTAGGTGTCATGAAATTTTAAGTAAGCTCAACAAATATAAGCAAACACAAATTTTGTCTGTGCAGTTTGGATCATGGAGTATCTTGCTATTGCAAATGTACCGTTTCTCTATTTTCTATGGAGAGTAAACAGGAACCTTAATATGCAATAAACAATATAGAGAAAAACATAAGATAGAGAGGACTGCAGAGAAGTTGAAGCTGAAGTTTTGTTTTTTTTGCCATACTGTAAAAAGAGTTTAAAAAACAAAACAGGATAATAATTATTTTTGGTTGGTTTGCATTATTGGGGGTGTCTGTGCTGCAGAGCAAGGAGTTAGAAACTGGTTGTGACAGAGGCTTACTTGCAATTGGTTCACAGAACTCTCCACCAGGAGGAAGCCCTTTGATGCATTCACAGGTTTGGGAGGTGACATTACTGCATGCACCGTATCGGCCACACTTCTCACATGACCAGGCAAACTGGTCCTCACATTGACACTGCTGTCCTCCAGTGGAGTTTGGATAGCACCCTGATAAAGACATTTAAGACAATCACCAAACACAGCTCACAAATCATGCACCAGAGTATGAACACATTTAAATGTGACTGAGCACAAAATTCTTACATGTGGTGAAGTTCAAGTCTTCTATTATTAAAGACCCAGTGATGTTTTGGGGAAAGGACACATTTCTCACATAGCCTCTGAATAGATCAATGAAATTTGGGGGCAGACTGGATATTGGGAAGAGCAAGTTCAAGTCTATATTAAACTCCACTGGCTCTGTAGAGGAGACAAGAAGAAAATCATCACAAAACTTTCACAATTATGAGAAACAACATTTACATAAATTGTTTATGAACAAACATCCCATTGATCTAACATGTTTCTACTTCTTTTGAGACGTACAGGACTAGAAGAAGTACAGAAGTGAAGGGCCACACCTCTTAAATGTTTTTTTTTGATTTTTTTCAGCTCCATTGTGACAGGTGTATAAAAGAGCACCTAGCCATGCAGTCCCCCTTTTTCCAAACATTTATGAAAGGATGGATCATTCTAAAGAGCTCACTAAGGGTACGTCCACACTAGCCCGGACAGGTTTTAAAACTGTGTTTTCATCTGAAAATGCTCTAATCTACGTGCTACAGCTTTAAGCAGCTGCGCGCGTTCCCGCGGACGGCAATCACTTTCTGGCACACAATTGCTTTTTGGCACAACACCTGAAGCAAAGGGGGCAAAATAATCACATGAGTGCTGCTGTTTGACTGAGGAAGAATAAGGTAGTCATGGTAAGCCAATCACATGACCACTTTAAGATGACAAAGCAAAATGGTCATATATACCAGTTTTTAAATTGTGTTGAGAGGCCACGTAAAACCAGAGTCATGATAAACAATATATACGCAGAGTTTTTTCCTCAATAGTTTCATCATGTTTACTGTCCAAGGACAGCGCAGCAAGCACTCTCTGCTTATGAGCAAAAAAAAAACAAAAAACTAAACAAAAAACAGACCTTTCATGTTGGTGAAAAAATGCACCATGTCGACCAATCAAAAAATGATATGAAAACATGACATTTGGTTGTTTAGGAAGAGGGGGAGGTTTTAGGAGTGTCAGCGAGAGAGAAAGAGAGAGAGAGAGAGTTTTGAGATGTGAGAGATGTGTGACGTTTAGCGTGTTTGGGGTGTGTAGTTAATGTGTTGTCTAGTGTATTTAGTGTGTAGTGTTGTGGATAGGTTGGTGTTGTGTGTCAGAACAATGAGGCGACTGCTGTCTCCAGGTAGAAACAGGAGTGATACACCTGCTGCTGTCAGACCTCCAGGTATCAGGCTGTGATGTTCTCCTTTATAGTCGACAGAAATTATTTTTTGGGAGTCGCACAAATATTTTGTGTGGCATCTTATTGAATGCAGAACACCTGCTTGTTATGGAAATAGCTTTAAATGTTTTTTTTTTAAAGGGTGAAAGTTGAATGGCTGCAAATAACTTTGTTGTTTGCAAAACTTGTACATATGATTTTAAAATTGACAATTTATATTTGCATTTAAAGTTATGAAATATGATTCATTAAAAATGTGTGTGGTTGTTACAGTAAAAAATATAACTTTTTCTACTTGGATGTTATGTTTTTTGTCTGATTTTGCATCAATTGTGTTAATACAGTCTGTCAAAATGAAAACATAACTGTAAATTCAGACACGTGAGGTTGTGCTGAAAAGGATGATACCAAACAAGGCAAATAAACAGTTTTTAAAGGTGAAATGTGGGGAAAATCAAAAGTAGTTAAAAATGGCCAATTATACCCTGGACCCCAGAGGGTTAAACATTTTTTAGTAGTAAAACAATAGTTACTTTTCAAGTAATTAATTTCTTTGTAACTTGTAATCTTGTAACTCAGTTACTTTTTTAAAGAAGTAACTAGTAACTATGATTAATTACTTTTTTAAAGTAACTTGCCCAACACTGGTTGGGACTGAAAATCTCAGAAAAACAAAGCAGTAGTTCAGATTTCAGCATACCTTTCTTATATTTCAAATTTCTCTTTTCTAATGCAGCCAAATAAATAGCTGTGTTGGTACAACAAAAGTGATTCATGTCTTAGATTTTACAGAGGAACTGATGATCTGGAGCTCACACACAGACATTCATTCTTTACTTTACATTTCAAACGCCATACCGGTTGTTGCTGTAGTTAATGTTGTTGATGGTGTTATGACTATAAAAACAGGAAAAAAGCAGCAGTTTAGATTTCAGCATACTGTTTTACATTTCAAACGAAGAACACTGAAAGTGTTGTTGTTATATATTACGGAAGTGTAGAGCTGCCACCCACGCAAAAGAAAAATAGAGGTATATCACATTATAACTAGAGATGGCACGATACCACTTTTTTATGTCAGATACCGATACCGATATCATAAATTTGGATATCTGCCGATACCAATATGAATCCGATATAGTGTTTTTTAATCAACAAAACAGTTTTTTTTAAATATCTTGCTGCATTTTGTATAAGTTCATACTCAAGTTTAAAACAACAACTACACTAAAGCTATTCTGTTATACCTGTATGCAAAAAAAAATTTCATAGTTCAGCAATACTGATCAATCTAATAAACTTAAATCTACACCATCCTCCCTATTCTGGTATTTTAAAGAGTACTTAGCGTAAATATTAAGCAACCTAACTAATAGGGTTCCAACTCCCAGCAACAACAAAAATAAATAAATAAAAAATAATAAGGAACCACCCCTCACGCTCCACCTCATGATGCTTAATCGACGTAATCAACCTTAATTTGATGCAGTGTGAAAAAAAATGCACAGAAATCAATTATTTTTCAAGAAATATTAAATAGATTCAACATCTTTCTTCAACAAAATTGCAGACTGCACAGATGGTACCTTCCCAAAGGAAAAAGTACTATAGCTTACATATTAGTACTATAGCTTATATATTAGTTAGGTATATATATATATTAGACTTAACAGTTACTATATACAGTAATGGACTTCTATTCATTTTACATCAAATTAAAACTTTGGGTGTCAGATAATTATTTATTAAAAGCTAGACATTTTAAATGAGAATAAGAAAGAAAAGTATGTCTTTGTGCTCCCTTTTCCCTGTTCATGCCCTATCGCCCCCCTGGCTAAACTTTGCTAGATCCGCCCCTGCTCAGTTACCAGCGTCAGCTACGTAGAAAAAGATCCTGGTGTAGAAAGTAATATTAAATAAATTCTAACAACAGCTTATCAAGCTTAAATGTGCTGCTGTTGTTTATCCACTGGTTTCCTCTTTCTGGTGCAAAGTGGACCAAAAACAAACAAGAGAGACGGACTTGCGACAGAAAAGCTGATCAGCTGATCATTAAGCAGTTTCATGATTGAAGTAGCAGCCAGAAGAGGCAGTCGCTCCATATATCGTTTGTTAAGCTTAACGCAGGAATGCTTTACAAACATTCAGAGATGGACTTACACACTTGCTTTACTTCTCTCGGGATAACTTTGTCGGAGATGAAATGCCGGGTTGCTAGCGAAGCTCCACATGCTATCCAGACCACCACAGGTCCCGCATGCCACAGCCGCTCTATCACGTGATGCATACTGCTCCGACGTGCTAACGTTCTGAGGTGAGTTACGGCATGTTGCAAGTTTTGTGAGGTGCTTTCGTGATATTTAATGGATAGAATTACATTTTTTATTTTTCTCCGATATCCGATCCAGTAATTTAGGTCAGTATCGGACCGATACCGATACGTAATATCGGATCAGTCCATCTCTAATTATAACGTGAAAAGTTTATTGTTCTAACAATATACTTTTCATGGTTGTACAATACTATCACTACTATCACGTTATAACAAAAAACTTTTATGTTCATACAAAATAAATATTATATTGCACGAACATGATAATTATGTATATTGTATTTGCATGATAGTATATTGTTCAGACATGAAGAGTGTAATGTTAGAACAGTAAACTTTTCACGTTATAACGTGATATAGGCTCTATTTTTCTTTTCCCTGGGTGGCAGCTCTACACTTCCGTAAAATACAGTGACTACACATCTTTTTGTAATGACATTTACTGCAGAGCAATACTTTAAAGAAGGAACAATGAAGCAAGAAGAATGTTCACATACCAGGAGTTGTTGTTGGACATGAAGAAACATCTGTAGAGGGAAATTATACTTTTAAAATGTTCATTTTCTAGTGAATGACAAAAATTAATTAACAGCAAAGAAGAAAAACCAAAAACAAATGAAAAAGAGACAAAGGAAACAAGAACACACCATTGTTTCTAACTATAGAGAGTTTACAGTGAAGCATATGTTTAATAAATGATTCTAAGTAACCATAGCTATATGTTGATGAACACATGCTGGTCAGATACATTCAACAAGGTCTTTGGTGAAAGCACTTTTCTCTAGCAACAGCTAGAAGATTTCAGTGCTTACCTGTGATTGGTTCACAGAACTCTCCAGTAGAAGGAAGTCCTTTTATGCACCCACATATTGGGGAGATGACATCACTACAGGCACCGTATACTTCACACTTGTCACATGACCAAGCAAACTGGTCCTCACACTGACACTGCTGCCCTCCAGTGGAGTTTGGATAGCACCCTTTTTAAGACAACACACACAGTTCATAAGTCATGCAGGATCACATGAACACTATTACATATGACTGAGTACAAACGTCAATTAAGATCAAGTCCTTACATGTGGTGAAGGTCAGGTTTTTCAGTGTTAAAGACTCAGTGATGATTTGGTTTAGGGAGACATTTCTCACAATGTGTCTGAGTACATCACTGAAATCTGGGGCCACACTGGATGTTGGGATGTGTAATTCAAGGACTATATCAAAGTCCATTGGTGCTGTGAAGGAAAAAAGGGGAAAATTCATCACATAGACCTGTTACAATGATGGGAGATGTCATTTAATATAAGATATTGTGTTAAGCAGTGTATATGTCAGATTATCAAGGAGTTTAGCTTTGTTTTCCAATAATTTACTCCAGTCAGCTCTCCTCATTCGTTACATGAGACAACCTAATATATAAATAATTAGTGGTGCAACGGATCAAAAATCTCACGGTTCGGATCGGATGAAGGTTTTAAGTCACAGATCGGATTTTTGGATCAGCAAAAAAAGAAAAAACACAAAAGTTTAACATTTACGTATTGAAGTATTTTTTGCCTGTTAAAAACATTCAACTCAAGACTCATTCTACGCAATTATATAAAAAAATTAGGGCAGTACAGTCTTTGTATCACTCAATTCTATTCAATTCCATTTTATTTATAAAGCGCCAAATCACAACAACAGTCGCCTCAAGGCGCTTTATATTGTTAAGGTAGACCCTACGTGCACGTTAGCATATGCTACTTCCGGTGCGGAAACTCCTGTGGGGAGCTTTGTTTCCGGTGTCCTATTCACGCCTGGTTTATGTCTTGGGCATTTACCCAATATATCTGTAAATGATGTTCATCGACTTGTCGATATTTTCCCCCGCGCCTCAGAGCAAAAGAGAAAAGGGATTCAAATGTTATATTTCTCAGCTGTCCCTCGTTTATCGCGGGTGTTATGTTCTAAAAATAACCAGCGATAGGTGAAATCAAGTAGCCAATTTTATTTTTTGACAGTGCAAAACGTTTCGTGGACATCGTGGACATACAGCACTGCACTTCAGAGTCACACTGCTAGCAATCGATGCAGCGATTCTGTACTGTACAGGAGAGACGTCACGGAGGAGACCATCTGCAGCGATCAGGACGCAGGACACGCAGCGAACCGTGTTATAGTGAGGGACCACTGTAATTTTGAAGGTAATTCACAACATACCCTTTGTAAATACTAATGTATAGAAACCGTTACCAGCAATCATTCATTTTTTGTGTGGCTTTTTTTCACGGCTTGTTGACATGCTGTGTAGGTGTGTACTTGACTAGCTGATCTCGACATAACGGGGAAACATCTGGTTTGACTATTCTTCAGCTGTAGTTTGAATGCTGAACATTTGCCTGTTTAAATCATAAGACCAGTCACTATACAGAGATGTGCTTCTGAATGTGGATGATGTGTCTTCTGCTGCAGTAATGCAGTTCTGCTTGTGTTGAGTGATGTAAACAACTGATCGATCTAAACTCTTTAAACGTCAAAATTGATCATTAGATTTTTTATGACACACAGTGGTGAGTGTTCCCACCTTCTGCTCTTTGTAACTTAACACGATCTTTCCGTTTTCGAGTTTTGGACATGATTTTGGAGTATATCTTAGTAGCGATTGACCGCAAAGTAAAGCTACCAGAAATGTACAACCCTACATCCGGTCTCAAACCAGGAACTTAGCATTTTCTCGTGCACAGGGTCTATAATACATACCGCTCATTATATCGCACTTCCGTTGCTCTGGAGGTCTGAACGATCTTGCCACTAAAGTGGACGCGAACGGGATATCATTGCGTGGCTCAAGCACGTGCATCATAGTTGAAACCCCTTGTTTTGCACAATGAAATACGGCCTCCCGTCTGCAGCTAAACACCCCAGTAGCTTTTGTAATAGCTTTAGCCCGGTCGGATTGGGCAGCAAAGCGCTGCTTAAATACCGCAAACTCCTCTGCTTCTCCACTTGGACCACTAGCGCTGGCCATAACTATCACTTAACAGACCCACCACACCACCATACACATACTTTTTTTCTTCTTTTTCGAATCTTCGGATCACGTGCGTGCCGAACCGTGGAGTGGGATCGGTTCAGATTATGGATCAACCGTAATCGGTTGCACCACTACAAATAATTGATTCATGAACGAACTGTAATGCTTATCTTTCGTAAGTTTTATTACTACATAATTGGTCGAACTTTATCCCTGCAATAAATAAATGAATAAATGCATAAATAACCAAGATGTTTGTCATACCAGGAGTTGTTGTTGGACATGGAGAGATACCTGTGAATGAAGATAAAAATTTAAATATTTCATTTTCTTCTCCCTGTAAAACGGTAATTTCAGTCATAATCAGCACCAGATTTAAAACATATTAAATATGGACACAAGCATTTTGCCACACATTATACTCAGTACTGGTCAGAATGCAATCAGTTATGTAAAAAATAAGTTGGTTTAAGTTAAAAACATTATAAAGAATAACAAAAAATAAACCATGATGATGATTCTAATAACAACCCTTTCACTAAAAGTCTGGCTGGAAACATCCTTGAAAGATATAATTGTGGGAGAATGGGTGGCAGCTATACACAAGAGCCACTAAAGAATGTCTGGCTTATATAATATATACACAGTTATAAAGAGAAAAATTAAAAGAACGATTTCTGGATTAAAAAGAGATTACGTTAAAATGACTGTTCATGTGAGAATGTACTAAAGATAGAGTATAACCATATATGACTGAATGTTGAAGTGGTGGAATTTCTATGTGAAGAATAACATAAAAAATGTAATGTAGTGATTTTAGAGTTTAGACTGGGAGGATGGAGATAGATATAGAGAGACGGATAGGGTGTGGCTGGACATTGGATGATTTTATGTAACCAACATGATTGGATGTCTAGATGGGGGGAGACAGAGGAGGAAGGTGAGTAGGCACTTGGCAGAGCATAAAAAACAGAGCACCCAGAGACACTCTTTTGTATTCCCTGCATCTCCTCTAAGATGAGCAGTTCAGAGGATTGGATTTGAAAATTATTCTATTTCTTCAGCTACAAGCTGCTTACTTGTGATTGGTTCACAGAACTCTCCACCAGGAGGAAGCCCTTTGATGCATTCACAGGTTTGGGAGGTGACATTACTGCATGCACCGTATAGGCCACATTTGTCACATGACCAGGCAAACTGGTCCTCACATTGACACTGCAGTCCTCCAGTGGAGTTTGGATAGCACCCTGATAAACACATTTAAGACAATCACCAAACACAGCTCATAAATCATGCACCAGAGTATGAAAACATTTAAATGTGATTGAACACAAAATTCTTACATGTGGTGAAGTTCAAGTCTTCTAGTATTAAAGACTCAGTGATGGTTTGGGGGAAGGACACATTTCTCACATAGCCTCTGAATAGATCAATGAAATTTGGGGGTAGACTGGATCTTGGGAAGAGCAAGTTCAAGTCTATAATAAACTTCACTGGCTCTGTAGAGGAGACAAGGAGAAAATCACAAAACTCTTTCACAATTACGAGAAACAATTTCACATAATTTCTTTTTATTTTTATATCACATATATCACATTTATCTAACATGTCTCTACTTCTATTGTGACTTTACATGTTAACGACTATTGAAAAAGCTGTCATGTTACAGTAATCTGTGGTAAATAGACATTCGTGCTTTAACCTCCGAAGACCCGAACTCTTTTGTGGCATGCATTTTTAATTTCTTTTTGCTATTTGGGCTGATTGGGACCTGATGAATTTAAAAACAAACAACTATGTGATTTTTTTTAACCGGATTTTTGTTTCTGAGAAAAATAAGATCCACATATGAGGACATTCGGTTTAAATTTCGATAGAACAGTGGCAGTATAACGTCCTTGTAAGTGGATATCAGGCCCTTGAAGAGCAAAATTTAGTAATTTGGTGTAGACAACCCAAAATGTGATGTCCACATATGTGGACGCCAGGTCCTAGGAGGTTAAATTAAATGTGTTATAACATATGGTGATGTCTCTCATACACAACATATTTGTCACTACAGCTATAGAATTTTTGAAACATATTTCATAGCAAACTTCTGTAAATTTAAAAAAAAAATCAAACATATGCACACACTTCTTGTTTTTTCTAAAGTGAATGAAGATTGGTGCCATACATTATCCCACCCTGTTAAATTTAAAGTAAAAGCAATAATTAGAAGAAAATGGATTTTTTTCATACCAGGAGGGTTTGTTGGACTTGGAGAAATACCTGTAAACCAAGACAAAACATTTAATTATTTATTTTTAATACCCAGGAAAACAACACAATAACGGTTTACATACATCATCTTAAGAATTTGCTATTTGAACAGAAGTACAGGCCCATATCTCTTGATTCAAAAGAAAAAAATAGCATACAGCATCTATTGTTAAAATTGTTAAAAATAGCATCTATGAAAGAATGGATCTTTCTATATAGCTCACTAACTCACTAACTACAGAAGTCCAAACCTTCTCTGGCATGAGCTTAAACACACGAGTTTCCTTGGCTGGGCAGCTGCAGCTGATCCAATTGAACATAAATTAGTTAATTTTAAAAAACAACAGTGATTTTGATGCAAATTGTTATTATAATGATAATTCCGAACATTATTCAAACAATCAATTTAACAATATAAATTTGGAGGCTATTTATATCATGCATTTAAATAGTAGAAGTATTATTATTATTGTTAAAACTGAAAATTATTTAAAAACATTAACTCATCAGTTTGAAGTGATAGCCATGAGTGAGCCTTTAGTAACAAATAGAAAATGCAGATTTTTTTTTGTTAGGAATTATGACTCTTTTATAGAACAAAGAAATTGGTGTGATGTTTTATGGTGGTGGTGTAAAGAAAGATTTTCAGTGTAAGGAAATGTAGGTCTATCAGTACTGTAGACAATATTTTTGGGAAAATATACACCGTATTTGTCGGGCTATAAGTCGCTACTTTTTGCACAAGCTTTGAACCCTGCGGCTTTTAGTCAGGTGCGGCTTTTCTATGGATTGTCCATGATTTTTGTGATATCGTAAGAGGATTTGTTTTGTTTTTTCCGCTGTTGTACGGCACTACGTTGCCTGGCAGAAGGATCGGGATTCAAGAGTGGTATGTTGGTCACATGTCCGTCCACCAGGCAACGTAGTGCCGTACGAAGTAGTGCGAAAAACAAACTTCAAAGTAGCGCTACGCGTTCAGCGGGAGGCGTGGATGACGAGCGGCGATAAACTTGCGAAAAGCAAGTTATGCTCAACTCCACCAGTGGAATCTGACAGCGTGGAAATGTGTGAAAACATCCATGATCACCAACAGATTTCTATGTATTCTGTATGACTTAAAGCAGTTATGACATGATATGATTTCTCACCCAATAAAGGAATATTTAATATATCAGTCTACTCTTCATTCTATCAGCAACAGTTATCACAGCTCGTACATTTGCTTTTTCCACATATACGTAAGCATTGGGCCAAATTTATTAATGCCAACATATTAAAAGAACAACATTTGTCTCTTATATATGATACATCTATAGATACACTGTCAAATAAACTTGTCTTTGAGTAAAGATTTAAGGTGATAGGACATATAAATAACTGCAACTTGAATCTTTACTAAGGCTCAGTATTTGACATGGAGTTCAAACTCACTGCTGTAATAGCTAATAATGATTAATATAATAACTATAATATTGGCCATATTATATTTACATTACCAAAGTGAGATGACTTTAGTCTCATGAACAACATTAGCTAATTGTTATTTACTAGCTAATCTTAAATGACTGTTCAGTACAGAAATTAAGCCCAAAAATCATGTTTTACAGTCCTGTGGTCTCAGCCTCAGATACTTATCAAATCACACAGAGCTCATGTAGAAACAAATAAACAAAATATGTTCTCCTTCATTTCTGTCAAACAAAGCTGTATGAAACATTTCCAGCTGTTAGTATCATGGTTGCTAGGCAACCTGGGCAGCGCGACGGAGGCTAGACTGTCCCATTTCACAAGCCTACAAGCCTCGCACTTTCAGCCTTAGCGGTCTTTGAGGACCATTAAGGCTGCGTACTTTAAGGCTGCAGACCCAGAATTGGGATACAGCCATGGGGAGACAACACAAATGAACCAGCAACAAGCAGAAGGAAACACTTATATACACACACAGAGGGAACACACAGGCAGGGTAGACTAGACACAGAACAGAGGGAGCACAGAGTAACATGAGGGGGCAAAGGGAACAAAACCTAGGACCTAGAAATACAAAACCAAAACACCGACAGTAATAATGTGGGAAACATGTAATAAACAATTCAATTCACTGGGTCACAGACCCAAGAACATGACAATATCATTGTTAGGTTTTTCTCTGTACAGTATGTATTATTGTAGGGTCTACCTTACAATATAAAGCGCCTTGAGGTGACTGTTGTTGTGATTTGGCGCTGTAGAAATAAAATAGAATTGAATTGAACTTGGGAGTCCCTCCCAGCTGACCAAAATCATTCCTATTTTGCTATTTTGGATGGGCCCGTGGCTGGATTGGTAAAGGGCAGAGAGCTCCAGTCCGACTCAGATGCCAGCAAGGTGGAGGTGGAGTACTGGTTTGGGCTGGTATCATCAAAGATGAGCTTGTGGGGCCTTTTCGGGTTGAGGATGGAGTGAAGCTCAACTCCCAGTCCTACTGCCAGTTTCTGGAAGACACCTTCTTCGAGCAGTGGTACAGGAAGAAGTCTGCATCCTTCAAGAAAAACATGATTTTCATGCAGGACAATGCTCCATCACACGCGTCTAAGTACTCCACAGCGTGGCTGGCAAGAAAGGGTATAAAAGAAGAAAAACTAATGACATGGCCACCTTGTTCACCTGATCTGAACCCCATTGAGAACCTGTGGTCCATCATCAAATGTGAGATTTACAAGGAGGGAAAACAGTACACCTCTCTGAACAGTGTCTGGGAGGCTGTGGTTGCTGCTGCACGCAATGTTGATGGTGAACAGATCAAAACACTGACAGAATCCATGGATGGCAGGCTTTTGAGTGTCCTTGCAAAGAAAGGTGGCTATATTGGTCACTGATTTGTTTTTGTTTTGTTTTTGAATGTCAGAAATGTATATTTGTGAATGTGGAGATGTTATATTGGTTTCACTGGTAAAAATAAATAATTGAAATGGGTATTTATTTGTTTTTTGTTAAGTTGCCTAATAATTATGCACAGTAATAGTCACCTGCACACAGATATCCCCCTAAAATAGCTAAAACTAACAACAAACTAAAAACTACTTCCAAAAACATTCAGCTTTGATATTAATGAGTTTTTTGGGTTCATTGAGAACATGGTTGTTGTTCAATAATAAAATTATTCCTCAAAAATGCAACTTGCCTAATAATTCTGCACTCCCTGTATCTGTAATCTTGTAAGTTCTTTAACCCTTTAAGACCTACCATAGAACCAAGTCCCCCAGAGCTTATATTATATTTTTACATGCTGTAGTGCCATTTTTGGGAGCATTTCAAGTTGCTATACTTAAATACAACCACTATAACCCAAATTTTAATAATATGTATGCATTAAGTGCATAGTAACTACATAAATTGCAAAAAAGTGCAATAAACTACAAAAAATTGAAAATCGTTTTTGTTTTTTTAACATATATTTCTAGTTAGAGAAATTTAAGAGGCTTCATAGTTTTACTTTTGAAATACACCAATTTTTATATACTGCAGGAAAAAACGAAAATAAATATTATAATGCAAATTTGCAAAAAAAAACAGCATATGCATCAATTTAAACTATTTCCAGAAGTGTAATTTGAGTTGTAAGCATCCCAGAAATGATACAGAAGGGTCATAAAGTCAAACATAACTTTTAAAAACATCAGTATAGGCTCATAAGGCCCTGAAGGTAAAGAACTACATTTCTGCGAAAATGACGTCACTTCCGGTTTCATGCAGGTAATAGTGGACATGCAATAGTTCGCGCTGACGTCTATTCCAACGTAGGAAGTGTTATGAACAGCTGATCGGATCGGCAAAGCGTGTTTCTGGAATATTATTTTTTTGTTGCTGCAAGTGCTTTTTATGCAATTTTTGCAAAGCTACATGTGGAAGGAAACCGTGACCGAGGACAAGCTGATGGCATAAGATGCAAGTACAACTCCTCCGGTTTCATGTGCAAAAAAATTATTGCGCTAGCTTACATGGTTGCAGTGCTACAGTGATTTAAAAATAGTTACGCAAAACAGAGCGTGCCCACTCCGACCGGCTTTAAAGGGTTAAACTTTACTGTATTTCTCTTTAGATCAAAGCTGCATTTTTAGAGAAAGGTTCAACATTTCCCCAATCAAATATTCCTCAGTAGTGATGTGTCATTCACTTTGTAGTGAATCAGAAGAACCAACTCCCATCAAGTGAGAGTCACCTCACCACTTTTTGTTTTTAAAAAGGTTTCTTGTGTTGCCACAGTATTGATTGATTGATTGATTGACTGATCATACTTTATTCATCCCGAGGGAAATTGGGTTAAGGCTGCCAACCGTGCCAGCGCCGTGTTACCCTTCCGACCATTACATACATTACACAAACATCACATGGGGAAGACAGGTCAGAGGGGTATAACATGGAAAAAGCACAACATGAGGAAAGATAAGGAGAAAAAAAATAACTCCCCCCAGACTGAGCTGCAATAGGGAGATCAGTTTGAGAACAGAAAAAAACACCTCTGCACATAGCACATGAAAAAAAACTCTTAATACACCAAAGAAACACATGACAAGCAACAGGGATGGGTAAAGGGTGAGAGACAGCCGATTTAGTCAGTACATCCGGGCCTGCAGCCTATGCGCTGGTCTCCTTGATCCACCGTCAGCATCGGAGGGTAATAAGCGTCGAAGGCGTTTGGGGGGTAGGGGGGATGAGTGTACATCTGCATGTGTATATATGTCTGTGTGCATGTGTGTGTGTGTCCAGAGTTCAGCTGAGACAGTGTCCTTCGCCCTGCCAGGCTAAGTAAACAGTCTTCCAGCCAACCCAGGTGGCCTTGCATAGAATGGGAAGAACACTCTAAACACAGTCGTGTTCTTGTTTGGCTCCAGCCTTGAGGCCGCAGCTGGCACCGAGGGGGTATCCGCATGAAGTGATGGTGTTTTTTACTTTAGTGCGAACAACTCATATGAATTTCAAAGCTTTTCTAACAGTCCAACACTGGTCTCTCAATCTCCCGTTGGAGAGCCGTGAGATTCTCCATGATGTTATCAACCTTAAGCTCCGTGATGTTGTCATTCTTGTGCTCAAAGAGCCTATTCTGAGAACTTACGACCGCAGTGAGCTTCTCCAAGATTTAATCCAATGTACACTCAGAGGTCTTGTTCTGAGTATTCACAGCAGCCATAAGCTTCTCCAAGATCTTGTAATTGCTGCACTCAATGAGCCCATTTTGAGAAACACACGCCTCTTCCCATCGTTTCAATCCCAGTGGGCAGCCTTGTGGGGGTTTGAACAGCCGGTTCCGCTTTCTTAATTCTTCGATAAGCCAGGGCCAAACCAGCTCCGATCAGCAAGAACCCTGTTATCATGGTTCCGAATAGGTAGATATCTTCAGCACTCAGGCTCACCCAAGCCCAAACTTCTCGTTGAGAAAGGGGTGTCAATTGCATTCAGGGACCAGATGATCAAATCCATAATTCCTCTTTTAGGTTTTAGAGAACAGACTGTGAGAGAATGTTCCAGGGAAAAGTAATACAAAAAACACGAGACTAGACAAGGACATAAGAGGCTAAGCAGGGAGAGGAGGAAGAGGAGAAAAGTGCGACTGCCTTTGTCAAGAGCAAGAGTCTTCCCACATACATCGTAAACAAAATAATTTGTGCTAAACATAAGCACAGATATGATCTGTGAAAAAAACTCAAGATTGTGTGTTTTGTGGTCTAAGGTTTTGTGCCCAGGGTTTCTCATTGTCTCACACATTTGCAGAGCCTTAGCAAGAACATGAATGAGAGGCGGAGGCGATTAAAGTTTATATTAACAGGTTATTAATCAAAAGAATATCTCACCTGAACAGATGACAGCAGCATCCTGACCATGTTCACATCTGTTTGATCCAAATTCACTGTGTTGACACTCAGTTAGAGAACTTTCATTTCCTGAACAGGTGACATTATCAAGCCAGATCTGTCCAGTTCCTGCACCAAAGTGAGCTGATTGGGGAACTTCCAGTGCCGACCCACAGTTTAACTGTCTGCAAACCACCTGAGCATCATTTAAGTCCCAGCCATCATCACAGACTGTTCCCCAGCTGTTACTGTGATAAACCTCAACTCTCCCAGAACATTGACTTGATCCAGATCCAGTTAATCTGATTGGACCTTTTAATGAAAAACATGTGACACAAACGATGTTTTAATATATGTCTCTTAAAGAAAGCAAAGATACATATCACACAAAAATACATTAACATGCAGTATGTTCCATGTCAAAAAGTGATGTCACCTGAACAGATGACACCAGCATCATAATAATGTCTATTGTAGTAGTTGTAGTAGTTGTTGTAGTAGTAGGAATTTCCCCATCCAGAGTGTTGGCATTCAGTTAGAGAACTTTCATTTCCTGAACAGCTCACACCACTGAGCCAGATCTGTCCAGTTCCTGCACCAAAGTAAGCTGTTCGAGGAGCTTGTAGTGCAGACCCACAGTTTAACTGTCTGCAAACCACCTCGGCATCATTTAAGTCCCAGTTATAATCAGAGACTGTTCCCCAGACATTATCATGATAAACTTCAACTCTGCCAGAACATCGGCTCGATCCAGAACCAGCCAACCTGATCAGATCTAAAAGGGAAAGAACATGAAAAACATTTTAATACACCCTTACCTCAAAAAATACTATCTTGCAATATTACCTTTATCCAGCAGTTTTCACACCTGAACAGATGACAGCAGCATCCTGACCATGTTCACATCTGTTTGATCCAAATCCACTGTGTTGACACTCAGCTAAAGAACTTTCACTTCCTGAACAGGTCACATGATCAAGCCAAATCTGTCCAGTTCCTGCACCAAAGTGAGCTGAATGAGGAACTTCCAGTGCCGACCCACAGTTTAACTGTCTGCAAACCACCTCAGCATCATTTAAGTCCCAGCCATCATCACAGACTGTTCCCCAGCTGTTACTGTGATAAACTTCAACTCTCCCAGAACATCGAGTCGATCCAGATCCAGTTAAAATGATGGACACAGCTGAAAACAAAACACAGAGATGATATGAAGAGGACCAAACAAAGAATACTTTTAGTTTCCAGCCACAGATTCCAAGTTATAGCAGAACGGTAAACTGAAAGGTGTAATACTGTCAGTCCACACAGCTTGAACCCTAATAAAACAGTCTATAAAAAGTCCAATGGATTCACTCCTGATCTACAAAGACATTCAGCTCCCAAATTTGTATTATGACAGAGTTTGTGAGGACTGCAGAACATCCACATTAAGAAAGTTGAAGCAGGAGACTTTGTTTGAATTGTTTCAATTACAAGACCTGAAAAGAACTAAGAAAACTTCAAGTTGCAGACTTTATCAAATCTTTCAGGGGTATGGTCTCCCTTAATCATGCACACACACACTCACACACAGACACACACTCACGCACAGACACACACACACACACACACAAGCCCGGTCAGCAATCTTAGTGAGGACCTTCATTGACATAATGCTTTCCCTTGCCCAGGGGTCAGCAACCTTTAACACCCAAAGAGCCACTTGGACCCAGTTTTCACGCAAAAGAAAACACTGGGAGCCGCAAATACTTTTTGACATCTAAAATGAAGATAACACTGTATATATTGATTTTTTTTTACCTTTATGCTTTGTGTGAACAACTAAAGTAAGTAAGTAAAGTTTATTTATTAAGCACTTTTCACAGACAGGCAGTCACAAAGCGCTGTACACAAATATTAAAATAAACAATACAATCAATAGACATTATACACAATGTAAAAGATCAAATGTAAATAATGTAAAGAATATAAAATACGTAGATCAACAAAAGGCTTGTTTGAACAGAAAAGTTAAACTGCTTTTTAAAAGAATCCACAGAGCAACTAAGGTGCGTTACTTATGAAATCCATGAAGTGCTAATGAGAAAATTACATTTTATTTATGTAATTAACACATTTTGAACTCTTAAAGAAATATAACAAAAGGAAAGACACCCAGCTGAACTAAAATGATCCATGTAGCAAACAAAAACTGTTGTGAGCCGCCACCCTTATATCGCCTTTGGGCTTTTGGAGCCTTGACCTGACTTTTAAAAAATAATTGGAAAAAAAGAACTATGCTGCTAAAAGATGAAAAATGGATATTTGCATAATTCTGCCTAAATATGTATTTTACCTGGTTAATGTGTGTGGCGGGGGGGCTGCAGCGCCGCTGCATGGGAGTCGGACGCACCTGAGCGGCACCCGCAATCACGCCTCGCCACCTCAAAGTCTGTGCTCTCTCTGCTGTTGCTTTGGTGTGTGTCGGGCTGTGAGCTGAAAAGCTACAGCCGGCTGTATGCGTACAACAACCGTGTGTGAAAAGTGGTCGATAAAGAGATGCTGAAAAGCATGTTGATGGAAACATCGTCGGGTCTGCCGTGATATGTATACAATAAGACTTATGGTCCCGAAACTCTGCAAATCGGGGCTGTATGAAGTCACTTTCATCTTCACGCAGGACTGTCAGCTGTCATCTGTGAGGCATGAGCGGTGTTTGTTTTTAACATAGTTCACGGTGGAGAACAGCTAACGACATAATAAGGATCAGAAGATCCATAATTGGCCTACCTGGGGTTGAAAGTCTCGATAAATGCACAGCGTTTCGGCGGGTATACTGGCTTCCGCTAGTGTGACGCTTATTTTGAGCGATGAAAAAAATAATAAGATATAATTTTATTTTTATATTTCAAAATCACAATAATCTTCCAATTTAGAACTACAAGTTAAAAAAAGAACTAAACACAAATAAAATACACTTCAGCTAAATACTTCTAATTGTCACGGTTCTGGGTCCGTTGGACCCAGTATTTTGAGTTTATTGTGTTTTGATTTAAGTTTTCATCAGGGATTGTGTTCTTGTTCTCTTGTCGTGTTATGGTGATGATTATGATTTCTATTATTAGAGTTCCATGTTTCTGTTTATCTGGGTTTACGATGTGAGTTTAGTTTCATATGTCATTTCCTGTCTGTCTCTCAGTGTCAGGTCTGCGTCTTGGTGTGGTGTTCTCATTTCCTGTTTTATTGTGAAGGTCTGGGTCTCATGTGAGTGTGTTCAGTTTTACCTTTGTCTCGTCTTGTTGATTATTCCCAGCTGTGTCCACCACCTGTGTGTAATTCCCCTGTGGTTCTCTGTGTATTTAAGTCATGTCTTCCGTCATTGTTGTTGCTGGTCTGTCTGTGTATTCCACCCTGTCTCATCTGTGTATCTACCATGTCACATCCGTGTGCTCTCCCTGCTGTCCATCGTCATTCTCCTCTGCTCGTTCTCATTCAGGTTTGTGCTTTGTAGTTTAGTTGTTTCCCAGTATAGTTTAGTTCCAGCTCCATTTGCCGTTTGTATTTACTTTCATGTTCAATAAACCACCTTTACACCTTCACGACTGCCTGCACTTGGATCCTCCTTCATTTCCTCCACACGGCTCACCTCACTCGCCGTGACAGTATGGACCAGCCAGATATGGATCCAGCGGTATTCACCCCACCCACGGAGCTTCGGGACCTCATCACGAACTCCGCTTCACAAATAATCAACCTGTGGCTAGAGCATGAGGGAGAAGCATTCCTCCACGTACTGGAAGCCAGACTGCAACAGCTGCTCACGGATTATCCCTGGCTATTGGACTCACTACACCCACTCGTGCAAGACTTCATCCTTCACGAACTTCACCTACTCCCACCAGCCGCTATCGCTTCCCAACCCAGCCGGACGCCGGAGGTTTTGCCCGGCCCGCCGGAGGTTTTGCCCGGCCCGCCGGAGGTTTTGCCCGGCCCGCTGGAGGTTTTGCCCGGGAGGAAGCGACGATCGCGCCGTCGGCGCGTCGCCCCACAGCTGGAGAATAGGACTTCAGAACTGCCGGCTGTGGTGAGTGGAAAAGACGCTCTGTCTGTTTCACCAGTTCATATGACTGTTTATACCGGGGCTGTGTTCGTTGACTCAGCTGCTCAGCCGGTAGCTCGGTTAGCTGCCCAGCAGTCACAACCCAGTCAGCCACTCAATCATCACCTCCATTACAGTCACAGTCAGACCCAGTAGACGCCATGTTACAGTCCATAGCCCAGTCAATAGCCCAGTTGGCAAGAGATTCATCAGCCTTATCAGTTCAGCCAGCCACTCCACCTGTTACTACTTTGCTACCTGTAGCTCAGTTGCCACCAGTTCAGCAGCCTGTCCACTCACTTACCCAGCCTTTATCCTCACAGCCTCATTACAAGCAGGGAACACACTTCACACAGACTTTAACTGGTTCATTTAAACTGGCCATCTCAGAGACAGTTGCTCCCTCTAGGGCCTCCCCAGAGGTAGGGTGCCAGTCACCAGCCACCTCTGGACCCCTAGAGGTCGAGATGCTAGCACCAGTGGCTTCATTAGAGGACTTTACTGAGCAGTCTCAGCCGTCGTCCCCTGCTGAGAGCTCCAGTGAGTCCGCCCCTCTACCCCTGTCCTCCGCTGGAGGACCAGAGGGACCCATTCAGCCGTCAATCTCAGCTGGGGGGCCCGAGGAGCCCGTCCAGCCTCAAGTTTTGTCTGCTGGGGGTTCGGGAGAACCCAGCCAGCCTCATGTTTTGTCTGCTGGGGGTTCGGGAGAACCCAGCCAGCCTCATGTTTCGTCTGCTGGGGGTTCTGGAGAACCCAGCCAGCCTCATGCTTCGTCTGCTGGAGGGCCCGAGGAGCCCGTCCAGCCTCATGTTTCGTCTGCTGGGGGTTTAGGAGAACCCAGCCAGCCTCAAGTGTCTTCTGCTGGGGGTTTAGGAGAACCCAGCCAGCCTCATGCTTCGTCTGCTGGAGGGCCCGAGGAGCCCGTCCAGCCTCATGCCACGTCTGCTGGAGGGCCCGAGGAGCCCATCCAGCCTCAAGCCACGTCGGCTGGAGGGCCCGAGGAGCCCACCCAGCACCACGCCTCGTTAGCTGATGGTCCTGGAGGACCCCGGCAGCACATCCTCACATCTGCTGATGGTCCTGGAGGACCCAGCCAGCACATCTCTACATCATCACCTGCAGCATTCACGCCACCGCCTGCAGCATTCACATCATCGCCATTCGCATCACCGCCTGCAGCGTCGCTGCCGTCAGGTTCCGCAGCCGTCCCGCTGCCGTCGGGTTCCGCAGCCGTCCCGCTGCCGTCAGGTTCCGCAGCCGTCCCGCTGCCGTCATCCACGCCTGGTCCAGCCTCCGCTTCAGCCTCTGTCTCGTCTGGTCCAGCCTCTGTCCCGTCTGGTCCAGCCTCTGTCCCGTCTGGTCCAGCCTCTGTCTCGTCTGGTCCAGCCTCCGCTTCAGCCTCTGTCTCGTCTGGTCCAGCCTCCGCTTCAGCCTCTGTCTCGTCTGGTCCAGCCTCCGCTTCAGCCTCTGTCTCGTCTGGTCCTCCCTCCACGCCTTCATCCACGCTTGGTCCTCCCTCCCCGTCTTCATCCACGCCTGGTCCTGCCTCCGTGTCTTCATCCACGCTTGGTCCAGCTTCAGCCTCCGCATCAGCTTCAGCTTCGCCTGGTCCAGCCTCGGCTCCGCCTTCATCTGATCCTGCGGTTGCCACACCGCCGTCGGGGCCAGCTCGACCCGTTCTGCCTCGCCTCTGCCGGCCGTTTTCCGGGTCTCTAAGAAGGCATCATGGCCTTCGGGGACGGCCTCCGGAAAGGGTTCGTCGCCGCCGCTGGCATCGCGGCCGTCCTCCGGACCTGCTCGGTGGCCGCCACTACCTTCCAAGTGGTCGGCCTCCAGAACTGTTTGCCCGTCGCCGCCGTTGCCGTGTGCACGGTCGGCCCCCAGAACTGTTTGCCCGTCGCCGCCGTTGCCGTGTGCACGGTCGGCCCCCAGAACTGTTTGCCCGTCGCCGCCGTTGCCGTGTGCTCGGTCGGCCCCAGAACTGTTTGCCCGTCGCCGCCGTTGCTGTGTGCATGGTCGGCCCCCTGACTGTGTTGTGGACTGGTGAACAGTCGTGTTTTGGTTCTGGTTTCTCGTGCTCCTGGTTTTTTGTGTTTCTTGCCCTCCTTCCTGGGCCCCCTCCGCCCGCCCTGGCTTGGTGCTTGTGCTTTTTGTTTGGGGCTGTCGGGAGCCAGCCCTTTGAGGGGGGGTACTGTCACGGTTCTGGGTCCGTTGGACCCAGTATTTTGAGTTTATTGTGTTTTGATTTAAGTTTGCATCAGGGATTATGTTCTTGTTCTCTTGTTGTGTTATGGTGATGATTATGATTTCTATTATTAGAGTTCCATGTTTCTGTTTATCTGGGTTTACGATGTGGGTTTAGTTTCATATGTCGTTTCCTGTCTGTCTCTCAGTGTCAGGTCTGCGTCTTGGTGTGGTGTTCTCATTTCCTGTTTTATTGTGAAGGTCTGGGTCTCATGTGAGTGTGTTCAGTTTTACCTTTGTCTCGTCTTGTTGATTATTCCCAGCTGTGTCCACCACCTGTGTGTAATTCCCCTGTGGTTCTCTGTGTATTTAAGTCATGTCTTCCGTCATTGTTGTTGCTGGTCCGTCTGTGTATTCCACCCTGTCTCATCTGTGTATCTACCATGTCACATCCGTGTGCTCTCCCTGCTGTCCATCGTCATTCTCCTCTGCTCGTTCTCATTCAGGTTTGTGCTTTGTAGTTTAGTTGTTTCCCAGTATAGTTTAGTTCCAGCTCCATTTGCCGTTTGTATTTACTTTCATGTTCAATAAACCACCTTTACACCTTCACGACTGCCTGCACTTGGATCCTCCTTCATTTCCTCCACACGGCTCACCTCACTCGCCGTGACACTAATTTAATTTCCCAAACCACCCGGAGCCGCAAAATCAAGACTAAAGAGCCGCATGAGGCTCCGGAGCCGCGGGTTGCCGACCCCTGGCCTAACCGTAGCCCTTACCCTAAACCTAACCATAACCTAATTGTAACCCTGACACTAAAACCACATTTTGAGCATCAAGAATGCCTTTACAAGCCTTCAAACTTTTGAGGACCGGTTTGTGTGTTCTCACAAGTGACTGTTGGTTCTCACAAGTGACTGTTGGTTCTCACAAGTGTAGTAGAATAAAGATGTCGGTCCTCACAAAGATAGATATACAGGAACACACACACACATATGTCAGGCTGACTTTCCCTCTCTGAAAATATCTTCCATGTCCCGCTCATAAATGTTCATTTGAAACTATTAAAATGTTCCTTTAAGGTATTTAAAATGAAATCTCTAATCTTATAAGTTATTTGAAAAGTAATGTATAGCTCTCTGGATCTGAGCTGCGTTTAAAGAGAAAGATGCAAACATTTTACCACTCAAATATTCTACAGTGTGGTTCTTGCACAGGTGAGTTTGACTGTTCACACTGAATTTCATTATAAAACACACTAATAAGTGGAAGACGGAAGTCTAAAAAAAAGGTTGTTTTTACAGTGTTTAACATTCATCAGATCATCAAAAGAATATCTCACCTGAACAGATGACAGCAGCATCCTGACCATGTTCACATGTGTTTGATCCAAATCCACTGTGTTGACACTCAGTTAGAGAACTTTCATTTCCTGAACAGGTCACATTATCAAGCCAAATCTGTCCAGTTCCTGCACCAAAGTGAGCTGATTGAGGAACTTCCAGTGCCGACCCACAGTTTAACTGTCTGCAAACCACCTCAGCATCATTTAAGTCCCAGCCATCATCACAGACTGTTCCCCAGCTGTTACTGTGATAAACTTCAACTCTCCCAGAACATTGACTTGATCCAGATCCAGTTAATCTGATTGGACCTTTTAATGAAAAACACGTGACACAAACTATGTTTTAATATATGTCCCTTAAGGAAAACAAAGATACATATCACACAAAAATACATTAACATGCAGTATGTTCCATGTCAAAAAGTGATGTCACCTGAACAGATGACACCAGCATCATAATAATGTCTATTGTAGTAGTAGTAGTAGTAGTTTCCCCATCCAGAGTGTTGACATTCAGTTAGAGAACTTTCATTTCCTGAACAGCTCACACCACTGAGCCAAATCTGTCCAGTTCCTGCACCAAAGTAAGCTGTTCGAGGAGCTTGTAGTGCAGACCCACAGTTTAACTGTCTGCAAACCACCTCAGCATCATTTAGGTCCCAGTTGTAATCAGAGACAGTTCCCCAGACGTTATTGTGAAAGATTTCAACTCTGCCAGAACATCGGCTCGATCCAGAACCAGCTAACCTGATCAGATCTAAAAGGGAAAGAACATGAAAAACATTTAAATACAGCCTTACCTCAAAAAAGATTATCTTGCAATATCATGTTGATCCAGCAGTTTTCACACCTGAACAGATGACAGCAGCATCCTGACCATGTTCACATCTGTTTGGTCCAAATGCACTGTGCTGACACTCAGTTAGAGAACTTTCATTTCCTGAACAGCTCACATCACCGAGCCAAATCTGTCCAGTTCCTGCACCAAAGTGAGCTGATTGAGGAACTTCCAGTGCCGACCCACAGTTTATCTGTCTGCAAACCACCTCAGCATCATTTAAGTCCCAGCCATCATCACAGACTGTTCCCCAGCTGTTACTGTGATAAACTTCAACTCTGCCAGAACATCGAGTCGATCCAGATCCAGTTAATCTGATCACACCTTTTATGTAAAAGACATAACACAAACTATATTTCAATACATATCTTAAAGAAAATACAGATGCATAACACTCAAAACATGCAGTTTTTTTCATATCAAAAAGTGTTATCACCTGAACAGATGACACCAACATCATATGAATGTAAACTGTAGTAGTAGTTGTAGAAGTTTCCCCATCCAGAGTGTTGACATTCAGTTACAGAACTTTCACTTCCTGAACAGCTCACACCACTGAGCCAGACCTGTCCAGTTCCTGCACCAAATTTAGATGATGGAGTAGCTTCTAGTGCAGACCCACAGTTTATCTCTCTGCAAACCACCTCAGCATCGTTTAAGACCCAGTTATGATCAGAAACTGTTCCCCAGACATTATCATGATAAACTTCAACTCTGCCAGAGCATCGAGATGATCCAGAACCAGCTAATCTAATCAGATCTAAAAGGGAAATAACATGAAAAATATTATAATAAATCCTTACATCAAAAAAGACTTAATGGAAGACACAAATGAACAGACTAACTGACAGTTTTCTCACCTGAACAGATGACAGCAGCATCCTGACCACGTACACAGCTGTTTGATCCAAATCCACTGTGCTGACACTCAGTCAAAGAACTTTCATTTCCTGAACAGGTCACATTGTCAAGCCAGATCTGTCCAGTTCCTGCACCAAAGTGAGCTGAATGAGGAACTTCCAGTGCCGACCCACAGTTTAACTGTCTGCAAACCACCTGAGCATCATTTAAGTCCCAGCCATCATCACAGACTGTTCCCCAGCTGTTATTGTGGTAAACTTCAACTCTTCCAGAACATCGAGTCGATCCAGATCCAGTTAAAATGATGGACACAGCTGAAAACAAAACACAGAGATGATATGAAGGGAACCAAACAAAGAATACTTTAAGTTTCCAGCCATAGATTCCAAGTTATAGCAGAACGGTAAACTGAAAGGTGTAATACTGTCAGTCCACACAGCTTGAACCCTAATAAAACAGTCTATAAAAAGTCCAATGGATTCACTCCTGACCTACAAAGACATTCAGCTCCCAAATTTGAATATTGACAAAGTTTGTGAGGACTGCAGAACATCCACATTAAGAAAGTTAAAGCAGGCGACTTTGTTTGAATTGTTTCAATTACAAGACCTGAAAAGAACTAAGAAAACTTCAAGTTGCAGACTTTATCAAATCTTCAGGGGTATGGTCTACCTTAAACACACACACACTTACACGCACATACAGATGTCAGGCTGACTTTCCCTCTCTGAAATTATCTTCCATGTCCTGCTCATAAATGTTCATTTGAAACTATTAAAATGTTCCTTTAAGGTATTTAAAATGAAATCTCTAATCTTATAAGTTATTTGAAAAGTAATGTATAGCTCTCTGGATCTGAGCTGCGTTTAAAGAGAAAGATGCAAACATTTTACCACTCAAATATTCTACAGTGTGGTTCTTGCACAGATGACTTTTATTGTTATTGTTAAGCACTTTGTGCAGCATCGGCTGTTGGAAATGTGCTATATAAATAAATCTGACCTTGACCTTGACCTTGACTTTGACTGTTCACACTGAATTTCATTATAAAACACACTAATAAGTGGAAGATAGAAGTCTAAAAAAAAGGTTGTTTTTACAGTGATTAACATTCATCTGATGATCAAAAGAATATCTCACCTGAACAGATGACAGCAGCATCCTGACCATGTTCACATCCATTTGATCCAAATCCACTGTGTTGACAGTCAGTTAGAGAACTTTCATTTCCTGAACAGGTGACATTGTCAAGCCAAATCTGTCCAGTTCCTGCACCAAAGTGAGCTGATTGAGGAACTTCCAGTGCCGACCCACAGTTTAACTGTCTGCAAACCACCCCAGCATCATTTAAGTCCCAGCCATCATCACAGACTGTTCCCCAGCTGTTACTGTGATAAACTTCAACTCTGCCAGAACACCGACTTGATCCAGATCCAGTTAATCTGATTGGACCTTTTAATGAAAAACATGTGACACAAACGATGTTTTAATATATGTCTCTTAAAGAAAACAAAGATACATATCACACAAAAATACATTAACATGCAGTGTGTTCCATGCCAAAAAGTGATGTCACCTGAACAGATGACACCAGCATCATAATAATGTCCATTGTAGTAGTAGTAGTAGTAGTAGTAGTAGTAGCTGTAGTAGGAGTTTCCCCATCCAGAGTGTTGACATTCAGTTAGAGAACTTTCATTTCCTGAACAGCTCACACCACTGAGCCAAATCTGTCCAGTTCCTGCACCAAAGTAAGCTGTTCGAGGAGCTTGTAGTGCAGACCCACAGTTTAACTGTCTGCAAATCACCTCAGCATCATTTAGGTCCCAGTTATAATCAGAGACAGTTCCCCAGACGTTATCATGATAAACTTCAACTCTGCCAGAGCATCGAGATGATCCAGAACCGGCCAACCTGATCAGATCTAAAAGGCAAAGAACATGAAAAACATTTAAATACAGCCTTACCTCAAAAAAGATTATCTTGCAATATCATGTTGATCCAGCAGTTTTCACACCTGAACAGATGACAGCAGCATCCTGACCATGTTCACATCTGTTTGATCCAAATCCACTGTGCTGACACTCAGTTAGAGAACTTTCATTTCCTGAACAGGTCACATTACCGAGCCAAATCTGTCCAGTTCCTGCACCAAAGTGAGCTGATTGAGGAACTTCCAGTGCCGACCCACAGTTTAACTGTCTGCAAACCACCTCAGCATCATTTAAGTCCCAGCCATCATCACAGACTGTTCCCCAGCTGTTATTGTGATAAACTTCAACTCTTCCAGAACATCGAGTTGATCCAGATCCAGTTAAAATGATGGACACAGCTGAAAACAAAACACAGAGATTATATAAAGGGAACCAAACATAGAATACTTTAAGATTCCAGCCATAGATTCCAAGTTATAGCAGAACGGTAAACTGAAAGGTGTAATACTGTCAGTCCACACAGCTTTAACACTAATAAAACAGTCTATAAAAAGTCCAATGGATTCACTCCTGACCTACAAAGACATTCAGTTCCAAAATTTGTATTATGACAGACTTTTTGAGGACTGCGGAACATCCACATTAAGAAAGTTGAAGCAGGAGACTTTGTTTGAATTGTTTCAATTACAAGACCTGAAAAGAACTAAGAAAACTTCAAGTTGCAAACTTTATCAAATCTTTCAGGGGTATGGTCTCCCTTAATCATGCACACACACACTCACACACAGACACACACTCACGCACAGACACACACACACACACACACACAAGCCCGTTCAGCAATCTTAGTGAGGACCTTCATTGACATAATGCTTTCCCTTGCCCAGGGGTCAGCAACCTTTAACACCCAAAGAGCCACTTGGACCCAGTTTTCACGCAAAAGAAAACACTGGGAGCCGCAAATACTTTTTGACATCTAAAATGAAGATAACACTGTATATATTGGGTTTTTTTTACCTTTATGCTTTGTGTGAACAACTAAAGTAAGTAAGTAAAGTTTATTTATTAAGCGCTTTTCACAGACAGGCAGTCACAAAGCGCTGTACACAAATATTAAAATAAACAATACAATCAATAGACATTATACACAATGTAAAAGATCAAATGTAAATAATATAAAGAATATAAAATACGTAGATCAACAAAAGGCTTGTTTGAACAGAAAAGTTAAACTGCTTTTTAAAAGAATCCACAGAGCAACTAAGGTGCGTTACTTGTGAAATCCATGAAGTGCTAATGAGAAAATTACATTTTATTTATGTAATTAACACATTTTGAACTCTTAAAGAAATATAACAAAAGGAAAGACACCCAGCTGAACTAAAATGATCCATGTAGCAAACAAAAAAACTGTTGTGAGCCGCCACCCTTATATCGCCTTTGGGCTTTTGGAGCCTTGACCTGACTTTTAAAAAATAATTGGAAAAAAAGAACTATGCTGCTAAAAGATGAAAAATGGATATTTGCATAATTCTGCCTAAATATGTATTTTACCTGGTTAATGTGTGTGGCGGGGGGGCTGCAGCGCCGCTGCATGGGAGTCGGACGCACCTGAGCGGCACCCGCAGTCACGCCTCGTCGCCTCAAAGTCTGTGCTCTCTCTGCTGTTGCTTTGGTGTGTGTCGGGCTGTGAGCTGAAAAGCTACAGCCGGCTGTATGCGTACAACAACCGTGTGTGAAAAGTGGTCGATAAAGAGATGCTGAAAAGCATGTTGATGGAAACATCGTCGGGTCTGCTGTGATACTATATGTATACAATAAGACTTATGGTCCCGAACCTCTGCGCACAGCGCCTGCAAATCGGGGCTGTATGAAGTCACTTTCATCTTCACGCAGGACTGTCAGCTGTCATCTGTGAGGCGTGAGCAGTGTTTGTTTTTAACATAGTTCACGGTGGAGAACAGCTAACGACATAATAAGGATCAGAAGATCCATAATTGGCCTACCTGGGGTCGAAAGCCTCGATAAATGCACAGCGTTTCGGCGGGTATACTGGCTTCCGCGAGTGTGACGCTTATTTTGAGCGATGAAAAAAATAATAAGATATAATTTTATTTTTATATTTCAAAATTACAATAATCCCCAATTTAGAACTACAAGTTAAAAAAAAGAACTAAACACAAATAAAATACACTTCAGCTAAATACTTCAAATTTAATTTCCCAAACCACCCAGAGCCGCAAAATAAAGACTAAAGAGCCGCATGAGGCTCCGGAGCCACGGGTTGCTGACTGCTGGCCTAACCGTAGCCCTTAACCAAAACCTAACCATAACCTCATTGTAACCCTGACACTAAAACCACATGTTGAGCATCAAGAATGCCTTTAAAAGCCTTCTAATTTTGAGGACCGGTTTGTGTGTCCTCACAAGTGACTATTGGTTCTCACAAGTGTAGTAGAATAAAGATGTCGGTCCTCACAAAGATAGATATACAGGAACACACACACACACACACATATGTCAGGCTGACTTTCCCTCTCTGAAAATATCTTCCATGTCCCGCTCATAAATGTTCATTTGAAACTATTAAAATGTTCCTTTAAGGTATTTAAAATGAAATCTCTAATCTTATAAGTTATTTGAAAAGTAATGTATAGCTCTCTGGATCTGAGCTGCGTTTAAAGAGAAAGATGCAAACATTTTACCACTCAAATATTCTACAGTGTGGTTCTTGCACAGGTGAGTTTGACTGTTCACACTGAATTTCATTATAAAACACACTAATAAGTGGAAGACGGAAGTCTAAAAAAAAGGTTATTTTTACAGTGTTTAACATTCATCAGATCATCAAAAGAATATCTCACCTGAACAGATGACAGCAGCATCCTGACCATGTTCACATCTGTTTGATCCAAATCCACTGTGTTGACACTCAGTTAGAGAACTTTCATTTCCTGAACAGGTCACATTGTCAAGCCAAATCTGTCCAGTTCCTGCACCAAAGTGAGCTGATTGAGGAACTTCCAGTGCCGACCCACAGTTTAACTGTCTGCAAACCACTTCAGCATCATTTAAGTCCCAGCCATCATCACAGACTGTTCCCCAGCTGTTATTGTGGTAAACTTCAACTCTGCCAGAACATCGACTTGATCCAGATCCAGTTAATCTGATTGGACCTTTTAATGAAAAACATGTGACACAAACGATGTTTTAATATATGTAGGTTAAAGAAAACAAAGATACATATCACACAAAAATACATTAACATGCAGTATGTTCCATGTCAAAAAGTGATGTCACCTGAACAGATGACACCAGCATCATAATAATGTCTATAGTAGTAGTAGTAGTAGTTGTAGTAGGAGTTTCCCCATCCTGAGTGTTGACATTCAGTTAGAGAACTTTCATTTCCTGAACAGCTCACACCACTGAGCCAAATCTGTCCAGTTCCTGCACCAAAGTAAGCTGTTCGAGGAGCTTGTAGTGCAGACCCACAGTTTAACTGTCTGCAAACCACCTCAGCATCATTTAGATCCCAGTTATGATCAGAAACTGTTCCCCAGACTTTATTGTGAAAGATTTCAACTCTGCCAGAACATCGGCTCGATCCAGAACCAGCTAATCTAATCAGATCTAAAAGGGAAAGAACATGAAAAATATTATAATAAATCCTTACATCAAAAAAGACTTAATGGAAGACACAAATGAACAGACTAACTGACAGTTTTCTCACCTGAACAGATGACAGCAGCATCCTGACCATGTTCACATCTGTTTGATCCAAATCCACTGTGTTGACACTCAGTTAGAGAACTTTCACTTCCTGAACACGTCACATTGTCAAGCCAAATCTGTCCAGTTCCTGCACCAAAGTGAGCTGATTGAGGAACTTCCAGTGCCGACCCACAGTTTATCTGTCTGCAAACCACCTCAGCATCATTTAAGTCCCAGCCATCATCACAGACTGTTCCCCAGCTGTTACTGCGATAAACTTCAACCCTACCAGAACATCGAGTCGATCCAGATCCAGTTAATCTGATCACACCTTTTATGTAAAAGACATAACACAAACTATATTCCAATACATATCTTAAAGAAAATACAGATGCATAACACTCAAAAATACATTAACATCCAGTTTTTTCATATCAAAAAGTGTTATCACCTGAACAGATGACACCAACATCATCAGAATGTAAACTGTAGTAGTAGTTGTAGTACTTTCCCCATCCAGTGTGTTGACATTCAGTTACAGAACTTTCATTTCCTGAACAGCTCACACCACTGAGCCAGACCTGTCCAGTTCCTGCACCAAATTTAGATGATGGAGTAGCTTCTAGTGCAGTCCCACAGTTTATCTCTCTGCAAACCACCTCAGCATCATTTAAGTCCCAGCTATTATCAGAAACTGTTCCCCAGACATTATCATGATAAACTTCAACTCTGCCGGAGCATCGAGATGATCCAGAACCAGCTAATCTAATCAGATCTAAAAGGGAAAGAACATGAAAAACATTATAATAAATCCTTACATCAAAAAAGACTTAATGGAAGACACAAATGAACAGACTAACTGACAGTTTTCTCACCTGAACAGATGACAGCAGCATCCTGACCATGTTCACATCTGTTTGATCCAAATCCACTGTGTTGACACTCAGTTAGAGAACTTTCATTTCCTGAACAGGTCACATGATCAAGCCAGATCTGTCCAGTTCCTGCACCAAAGTGAGCTGATTGAGGAACTTCCAGTGCCGACCCACAGTTTAACTGTCTGCAAACCACTCCAGCATCATTTAAGTCCCAGCCATCATCACAGACTGTTCCCCAGCTGTTATTGTGGTAAACTTCAACTCTTCCAGAACATCGAGTCGATCCAGATCCAGTTAAAATGATGGACACAGCTGAAAACAAAACACAGAGATGATATGAAGAGGACCAAACATAGAATTATTTTAGTGTCCAGCCATAGATTCCAAGTTATAGCAGAACGGTAAACTGAAAGGTGTAATACTGTCAGTCCACACAGCTTTAACACTAATAAAACAGTCTATAAAAAGTCCAATGGATTCACTCCTGACCTACAAAGACATTCAGCTCCAAAATTTGTATTATGACAAAGTTTGTGAGGACTGCAGAACATCCACATTAAGAAAGTTGAAGCAGGCAACTTTGTTTGAATTGCTTCAAGATCAAAACTTCAAGTTGCAGACTTTATCAAATCTTTCAGGGGTATGGTGTCCCTTAAACACACACATACAGACTCACTCACAGACACACACACGCAGATGTCAGGTTGACTTTCCCTCTGAAAATATCGTCCATGTCCCACTCATAAATGTTCATTTGAAACTATTAAAATGTTCCTTTAAGGTATTTAAAATGAAATCTGTCATCTTGTAAGTTATTTAAAAAGTAATGTATAGCTCTCTGGATCTGAGCCGCGTTTATAGAGAAAGATGCAAACATTTTACCACTCAAATACTCAACAGTTTGGTTATTGCACATATGACTTTGACGTTTCACACTGAATTTCATTAGGAAACACACTAATAAGTGGAAGATAGAAGTCTAAAAAAAAGGTTGTTTTTACAGTGTTTAACATTCATCAGATGATCAAAAGAATATCTCACCTGAACAGATGACAGCAGCATCCTGACCATGTTCACATGTGTGTGATCCAAATCCACTGTGTTGACACTCGGTTAGAGAACTTTCATTTCCTGAACAGGTCACATCACCGAGCCAAATCTGTCCAGTTCCTGCACCAAAGTGAGCTGATTGAGGAACTTCCAGTGCAGTCCCACAGTTTATCTGTCTGCAAACCACCTCAGCATCATTTAAGTCCCAGCCATCATCACAGACTGTTCCCCAGCTGTTACTGTGATAAACTTCAACTCTCCCAGAACATTGACTTGATCCAGATCCAGTTAATCTGATTGGACCTTTTAATGAAAAACACGTGACACAAACGATGTTTTAATATATGTCCCTTAAAGAAAACAAAGATATATATCACACAAAATACATTAACATGGAGTGTGTTCTATGCCAAAAAGTGATGTCACCTGAACAGATGACACCAGCATCAGAATAATGTCCATTGTAGTTGTGGTAGTAGTAGTTTCCCCATCCAAAGTGCTGACATTCAGTTAGAGAACTTTCATTTCCTGAACAGCTCACACCACTGAGCCAAATCTGTCCAGTTCCTGCACCAAAGTAAGCTGTTCGAGGAGCTTGTAGTGCAGACCCACAGTTTAACTGTCTGCAAACCACCTCAGCATCATTTAGGTCCCAGTTGTAATCAGAGACAGTTCCCCAGACGTTATTGTGAAAGATTTCAACTCTGCCAGAACATCGGCTCGATCCAGAACCAGCTAACCTGATCAGATCTAAAACGCAAAGAACATGAAAAACATTTAAATACAGCCTTACCTCAAAAGTAACTATCTTGCAATATCATGTTGATCCAGCAGTTTTCACACCTGAACAGATGACAGCAGCATCCTGACCATGTTCACATCTGTTTGATCCAAATCCACTGTGTTGACAGTCAGTCAGAGAACTTTCATTTCCCGAACAGGTCACATCATCAAGCCAAATCTGTCCAGTTCCTGCACCAAAGTAAGCCGATCGAGGAGCTTGTAGTGCTGTCCCACAGTTTATCTGTCTGCAAACCACCTCAGCATCATTTAAGCCCCAGCCATCATCACAGACTGTTCCCCAGCTGTTATTGTGATAAACTTCAACCCTGCCAGAACATCGAGTCGATCCAGATCCAATTAATCTGATCACACCTTGTATGTAAAAGATATAACACAAACTATATTTCAATATACATCCCTTAAAGAAAATATAGATGCATAACAGTCAAAAACACAGTGACATGCAGTATTAGGGCTTGGTATTACAATTGATTTCTATAATTTATTCAATACCAATTCGATTCAATTTTGACTCAGAAAAATCAGAAATATTATAATTATCATGATCATTTATCAGTACATAACCATATTTTTATATCTATGTATAAAAATAAAGCTGACACGCATGAAACTTCGTCAGAGGTGTAAACATCACAGCAGATGTGTCATGGTACTGGGTCGCGGAACCAGTGCTTTGTGTTTATTGGTGAACTGACAGTTCAGATTATTATTAGGATTTATGGTTCTCTGGTTATGGTACATCCAGTACCTGGATTGTGGTTTCTGTTTTTTATCATCTCTGTTCTTCAGGTTCCTAGATTTCCTTTATCTTTTTTCTTTTCTTTGTAGTGTGTAAAGTGTAAACAGCAGTAAATACTAAATATTGAATGCTGTTGTGCAGCACGCAGGACCGACAGCACACAATGTGCTTTGAAGTAGCAGTCAAGAAAGGTGTAGTTTATCTCTATGAACAGTGAACACCCAAGTGCACACCTGTGTGGATCAGCACGCTCATATTCAAAAGGTTTCCCCATGTAACGGTCTGCTAAAGGGTGTAGAGAGCCATAGCCCCACCCCCCAGGGCATGAAGCAGGCATGGAGGAGATCTAGGCTCCAGACATCCAGAGACCCCAGAGTGCGAGAGCCCAAGGAGGACCACCGGAGGGGCATCCGTGCCACCCTCCTGGGAAGAGCTGAGGAGAGCCCAAGATGAGGGGCCACCCAGTAGCCACGGAGCAGAAACCAGAGGGGGCTGCACTGGCGTGCCCGCCGGCTCTGCCGGCAGCCAGCTGTGCCTAAGTGAATCAAGCCTCAGGCCCAGAGGCCGGAGGCCCAACGGCCCCCTACGCCCCGGAAAAGGCCTGACCACGCAACAGTCGCCAGGCCCCGCCAAGTAGCCACCGGGTGTGAGCTGGTACATACCTGAGCGCCCAGCCCCAGACACCAAGAACCACCAACGCACCAACCCCTGAGGGCATCAGTCACCGGCAGGGAGTATGGTGAGGGGAGATAGGCCTCCACACTTTGGAGGGCCTGGGAGTTCCCAGAGAGGTGGAGTCTAAGATCCGACCTGACATATAGACACAGACAAACAGGCATACACAGACACAAACATGCATTCCCACCCTCATGCACACATATACAAATACTCAGCACTCACCCAATGTAAGGATATACATAAATGGACATGTACACACAATCACACTCCCCAAACATACTCTATACCCCAGGTCCAGGTATCCACGCCCCCAGAGGGGGAAACGGCATCTAGACCCAGGAGATGTTACCCTTTCCCCCGGGGTGGAGGCAAGCAGACCGCCCCAGGCTCCACAGCAGCAGGGAGGCCCAAGATCCCAAACGAACGGCCAATACCTCCTCCCAGCCCCCCTGCCCCGATGGCCAGCAGAGAATAGGGGTGTGTGAAGACCCCAAACCTCCCTCCTCTCGCTCATGTGTAGTGTTGCTGCGTGTTGTTCTAAAGTGCATTTGAAACACAGGAGAGCATGGTGCTGCTGCCAGAGATTAGCAGGTGTTAGCACGGTCCCTCCCGAGCCACAACCAGAGCCACTAACCAGGTTATGACCACAAACCCCAGGTTAAGCCCTCCAGGCAAAGGCGGGACCAAACCACAACCCCCCAGCCCCGCTATGTGATGGAGCCGATCACAGGAGCCCAGAGGGATTGATCTAATGTGGTGGCAGAGGCTGTCTCGAGACTAATGTGATCTATTAGATTGTTTCTATATTGGCTAGAATTAAGATTATTTTTATTTTTCCAGTTCATGAGGACCGTTTTCTTGGCAATGCATAGGGCAGTAAAAACATGTGGGCTGTATTAGTTTCTGTAGTGACATCATCCAATTTGCCCATCAAGCACACTAAAGGGGAGGTTGGAATTTTACATTTCAGACACTTTGATAAGTCTTTACATATCCCACGCCAAAACTTCTGCACTGGTGGACAGAACCAAAGAGCGTTCATGTAATTGTCTGGTGTATTGCCTTGACAGTGTGAGCAGTTGTTGGAAGATGTAAAGCCCATCTGGAACATCCGATGACCTGTATAGTGCACTCTATGTAGTATTTTGTATTGTATTAATTGCAGACTGGGATTTCTAATCAATTTAAATGTTTTTAAGCATACCTGAGACCAGAAGTTTTGGTCTAAGCTGACTGATAAATCTGCTTCCCACTTTGCAATAGGAAGAGATATTGATTCATCTATTTTAGAAAGTGTTCTGTATATTTTAGACAATAATTTGGGGGCACTTAAGAGTAATAAAATGTACCGCACTTGGTGGTGTTTGTAATTCAACTTGACTGAGGTTAAATTTCTTTTTTATTATGGATTTAATTTGTTGATATTCTAAAAATCTTTTCTTTTTGATCCCATATTGTATAACTAGTCTGTCAAATGGAATAAAGTCTGTTCCTTCTAATATATGTTCCAAGTATTTAATTCCTTTACAACTCCATTCTGGAAAATTAATCATATTATTGTTTTGTAATATGTCAGGGTTATTCCAGATAGGTGTACATTTGCATGGGATTAATGAAGACTCCGTTATTTTTAGAAACTCTCACCATGCTGTCAGAGAAGAGCTGATGCTGACGCTTTTAAAGCATTCATGTCTTTTGATGTTTGAGCTGATAAATGGTAGGTCTGAAATCTCTAGATTATTGCATAGTGCCTGTTCTACTTCTAGCTGGGGCTCATCTAAGATGGTGTGTTTTAACCATCCTGAGATGAATTGTAGCCTGTTGGCTAGGAAGTAATGTTGAAAGTTTGGCACATCTAATCCTCCTTTATCCTTGGTTCTTTGTAGCGTTTTTAAACTGATACGCGGGGGTTTATGTTTCTAGAGGAATTTAGAAATATACGAATCCAGAGATCTGAATCAATCTTGTGATGGCTTGTTGGGGATCATTGAAAATAAGTAATTTATTTTTGGCAAGACCATCATTTTTATAGTGGCGACCCTTCCCATGAGTGATATGGGTAGAGATTTCCATCTAGCCAGATCATCTTCTACTTTCTTTAGAAGTGGGATGTTGTTTAATTTAGTTAAGTCTGAAAGCTTAGGAGAGACATTAATACCTAAATATTTAATATTTCCAGATTGTAGTGGGGCAGAAGAAGAATTATGGAAGGAGCAGTTAAAATCTACAGAAGAACTGTAGATTTTGATCTTGAAAACCAGTTTATTAGAGTAATTACCTCAGAAAGGTTGGTTTGTGAGCTTTGGAGAAAAAGCAACACATCATCCGCATAGAGACTGATTTTATGTTCTACGTTCTTACATTTTATGCCCTTAATTGTTGTAGCTTGTCTAAGTGCTGCTGCTAGTGGTTCGATAAAAATTGCAAAAAGTGAAGGGGAGAGTGGGCACCCCTTTCGGGTGCCCCTCAGGAGACAGGAGCTGGAGGATATCTGGTCATTTCTTCTAACACGAGCTGTTGGGGAATTATATATTCTTAGCCAGTTTATGAAAGAGTTTCCAAAGCCAAATTTGTTTAAAGTTGCAAATAAAAAATTCCAGTTAACCCTGTCAAACGCTTTCTTCATCTAGAGATAATATTGTGGTTAAAATGTTTTTACTGTATGAGTAGTCTATTAAATTAAGTAATCTATGTGTGTTTGTTGATGATTGCCTACCTTTTATGAAACCTGTTCCTAAGGTTCCTGTTTCCACATCGTAGTGTCTAGTCTGCATCTTGGTACTTTGTCTGAGTTTCCTTTTTTACTTTGGTAGTCCTTGTCCCATGTTTATGGTTTCAGTTCTGCAGTTCTGTTATCCCAGCTATGATTCCCTCCTATCTCTGATTCCCTTATTACACCAGCCCTGTGTTTTTCCCTGTCGTTCCTCAGTCGTCATATTTTGTCAGGTTATGTCATGCCACATCATGAAATCCCAGTTTTGATCATCCTTCCTAGTTTGAATTTAGCTTTTAATTCTTGTGCTCGTGTATTGTATTTCTAAGTTTGTTTTCTGCCAGTGAATAAAAACTGCCGCCTTCAAGTTAAATATTCCTTGTCTGAGTCCTTTGCGTCGGTCAAACCTCTGCCTGTCACACAGCTCACCATGACAAGATGCTTTTGTGTCAAAGTGACTGCAGCTAAAACACAGAAAAGCATGATTGGGATTTGGCTTGGCTTTTAATAGCAGATAACCTGTAAAAATACTCTGCAGTAGGTCAAAAACGGAAGAATACCACAAATAAACATATGAACATTACCTGATGCTGCTGAAGTGAAGCAGAGGAATTTTACAGAGGTTTATTAGAGACACAGCTGAGCGTTTTGCACTTTGGCATATTTTTCAAAAGTTTACATTTCTCTGATTTTTAACAACCCACCCCTATGCAGTATGTTCCATATAAAAAAGTTTTGTCACCTGAACAGATGACACCAACATCATAAGAATGTCCATAGTAGTTGTAGTAGTTTCCCCATCCAGAGTGTTGACATTCAGTTAGAGAACTTTCATTTCCTGAACAGCTCACACCACTGAGCCAAATCTGTCCAGTTCCTGCACCAAATTGAACTGATTGAGGAACTTCCAGTGCCGACCCACAGTCTAACTGTCTGCAAACCACCTCAGCATCCTTTAAGTCCCAGTTATAATCAGAAACTGTTCCCCAGGTGTTATTGTAAAAGATTTCAACTCTGCCAGAGCATCGAGTCGATCCAGATCCAGTTAATCTGATTGTGGATGTACCTGAAAAAGCAAACCATAAAAAACCTAAAAATTACATACAGTAGGCTATAGCAACTGTTTTCTTTCTTTTTTTAAACTTTCTGAACCCATATATTGCTGAAAAATACTTTGTATACTTTGTTTCTTTCTACTAAAAAGACATCCTTAGCCTTAAGTTCCGCTGAATTATTTTTTAAGGAAACTAAAATTACACCGTAGCACCAAAAATTTACATGAAAAATGCAAGGTTAAATTTAGAAGATAGCACACTAAGTCACGGGCTGTATTAGAAAATGTAACTGATGGTGGCATTTCTGTCTTGTTATCAAATATGTAAAAAAAAAACAATCAAACATGAAACTTGATGATTTTGTAAATTGTAACAAAATGCTTTTTTTTTGCTCACCTGGCAGCTGTGCGTGACAACCTGAAAAGTGGAAAAAGACAAACCCAGTTTAGAGCAGAAGATGTTTTGCACTTGTGAGAAAGAAAATAGGTGAAACTTAACATTAAAGTCTTTTTTTCATAATTCTTAAATTAAAATATTTTTCACAAAAAATCAAAATCCGACAAACTCCATTTAATTTTAAACTGCTACCCTGTCATATCTGATAGGAATTTGGCACTCATAGTTTTTCTCACCACCCATTACAAAAAATTGCCCGTATTAACATATTATTTAATAACTGATTAAACTCTTGAATACTGTTGAGATTAAATTATTTGAAGTACCTCAATTCTATGCTTTGGATTAACTAAAATTCCATATAACCATATAGTGTAGTATTAAGTGGACACAGCCCTGAAAAATAAAGGCATTAGACTACGTGTCCTTGGGGGGTAGATTCTCACCCACGCTTGCCTGGGGGGAAAAAAGTCGATAACAGGGCTCCATCTTCTAGTGGAAAGTTACTGAAGCACTGGTGTTTAGACTCGAATGAGAGAGCTAGCAATAACTGTTAGGGGTACACCCTCATTTTGAGGTCTGCTGCACTGTGTCATGCAGAACACCTCTCCCTTCTAGAAGTAATTGTGTAAGAGAAAAAAGTGTGAAATTGTCTACTGAGCAGTGTTTTGTCTTCCATCAGATGCCTATGACGAGTCAAAAGAACTTGGTGAAGTGTTGATATTTAACAATTGGGGGCTCGTCCGGGATTCCAATACTAGGCTAAGAAAGACAGATTAAGCGGTTTGGGGGGTCAACCAGCAAAGCGAACAGAGACCCTCATTCTCATTTTAAAATAAAGGTAAGCACCACCTGTTCAAAGTCAAAATCAAAGCTTGCATGTTGGAGCTTATCTAAATTGTCTGTTCGCTTAGTTGATGGAATTCTCAGAGTCAATTTGCTGCAGTAGACAAAGAGATGATGTGTGATCTGTCTCAGTGTGTTAGAGCAACTAAATTGTGGGTGTAATAAGCCAAGTAAAACTAATTGGCTGTTGTGGATAGTGACTGAAAAGAGTAAGAGTAATTATCCTTAGGCGTGGTGGCTCCACTTGCTTTGGACGTGAGGCGAAACCCATGGGACCGGAATTAGGGTGGCAACCTGGGCAGGTGTGGACCCCCGAACAGCTAAATCGAGGTGAGGTATCATCGTCACAGTTGACGGCCTACACAAGAGCAGTCCAAAGTTTCTCCGCTGGCCAGATTCCGTGCGGGGAGCGGCGAGCCCATGCAGCGGCGTTAGATTGCGTGTGTGAATGTGAAAGAGCGAAAGGTTGCGTCTCGATTGAAATTGAGTAGTTAAATTCGCCATGGTTGACAGCATGTATGAGAGTAGGCCCGAGTTCTTTCACTGGATGGATCCCAAGCTAAGATCGTTGGCCCGCTCTAGTGCCTCTAGACTGTGTGCGTGTATAAAAAAGAAAAGTTAAAATTTCCTACAGTTGACAGTCTGCTTGACAGTGGGGCTAAGTTCTTTTGCTGGTTGGATTCCGAGCTGAGATAGCTCATTGTAGTGCCTAGAGACTGTGTGGGTCAATTTTGGGTTAGTAAATTAGGCTTAAAGTTGAACCTTGCGTCTAAAACCGTGTGTTTGGGTGTGTGCAGAGTGAGACGTGCTCTACAATAGTGTGTGAGCACTACAATAGTGCGGAGTTGATGTCTGCTGGCCATAAAGTGTAAAATTGACTGTGACTGTTTAGATTAAAAGGACTTTAAGAGTCTCATATGTTGTGACCTGTCTCACAGGAAAGTGAGTTATTTTGTGTTGTCAAATAGCAGCTGAGAAAAGAGGCGGGTTGGATTGGCATAGTAGATCTCCACAGCTGTGTGTGTGTGTGTGGAATAGAATGTGACAGGTATCATGTCACATTCTAGGAGAGGAGAAGTGTTTCTCAGAGTGGAGTGAGCCAGACTGACAGAAGGAGGAAGAGCAAACTCAGAGGGGAGGAGCTGAGTGTGAGGTGGAACCAAGGAGGAGCTAGGAGAAGCAGTCTGTGTGACTGCAGGGGAAAAGTGCCTAAAACAGAGAGTCAAGAGCAAAAAGAAGGGGGGGGGGATTATTATGAATTATGCACAAACGCTGAAGCAGAACAGGATGAATTGGAAAAATATTTAAATTAGCAACAAAGAGAAATGTGTTTCAAGAGTGTCAAATAACGAGGGATGAAATATTAAATAAATCTCTTAGTGTGTTAATACAGGTGACTACGGACCTGGATCAACCCCCTCCATGAGCACATCGGCCAGAACATAATGATAGATATAATAATTGGAACCACAACGAGGCCATGTTTTGGCTGAAAATTCACAGCTTCACCTTCATGTATATGTTATTCTGAAAAGAAGCTTCAAGGACGGTCAATCTCTCCCTGAAAACAAAGGGCAGCTTCAGAGCAAAAGCATCAACGTCAAGAGTCAACACCAAGTGAACAGATAACAACGCTGCCCTAAATTTCAAAGGGTTCAGCAGAATGTACAACTACTATTGCAGATGGAAGCATGCGTTCTTGATCACAGGCTGAGAGGATCACCTGCAACATCATTGTGTGTGAATGATGAGTCTGAGTGTGCGCTCTGAGTCTCACATTTGAAATGGCTAAGGAAGAAAAGAGTGAAAGACATAAGACAAAGCTGAAGAGGTACGGCCCACTGGGCCTCTGACATGTCAACAGCCGAGAACTGCCGCAGATGTGGGGGAGGAGACAGCAGTTGTGAGGAGTGAGAAGAGAACATGGAGGAAAATGAAGGATGATGTTGTTAAAGTGAGAGAATATGAAAACTGTTGAAAAGTAAGGCAGATGGAGTTGTGGAGGATTGAGAAAGTGTCCAGATTATCACAATAAAATGGACAAAAAAAAGAGAGAGAGAGAAAGAGAGCACACACACAGACATGAAATGCTTTTTGGAGAGAATAGGGAGCTGGGGGAGACTGTTTCAATCCACAGCTCCACCTCCGCCTACTAACCATACATGCAAAGAAGACCAGCTTACACTCATGAACACGCCCATATCTCTCATTAATGCTAAAATAGACTCAACAGACACTTGCTATCAAACGCTGAGTCTACTGCTAATACGTAACTCTCTGGATTGCAGGACAACAGGTTGACATGTGTGAAAAGAAAAAAAAAGAAAAGGAGAAAAGAAAAGAGGAAAACTGGTATGACCAACTGGTAATTAGGTAATAAATGCACTTTCAACATAGTAAATTGTGAGATGGGAGGCAGGAGGAGGAGAGACCCGAGGCGTCCGAGTGTCAGGTGAACTGAACTTCAGGTAAGAAGTTATGACCTGCAGTCTATCTGGGTCAGATATAAACAATGTTTAGGTGGAGTTTATTTTCGTTGTGCTGACTTTTTACAGTCAGTTACAATAACTCGTACTGCGTACTAGCTAGCATGACGGAGTTTCTATACAGCTGGGTGGGTGCTATGATGTTATTGATAGTGAACTTTATTTAATTCATAAGGTTAGTTAGTAGAGTTTCGTAAAAAAACGAAATTGTCCTGTATTCAGAGAAAATATTACGCAAAGATTGTCCCAGACTTCAGCTAGAATGGAAAAAGACACAAAGCTGGATTTATTCTGTCTTTATGCTGAAGCTGCCTCTTCTTCTCTTCTTCTCTCTCCCTCCTTCTCCTGTTGCTACTTCAATCATGCAACTGATCAATGATCAGCTGATCGGCTTTTCTCTCTTGTTTATTTATCGCCCACTTTGCGCCAGAAGGAGGAAACCAGCAGATGTCAAGCTAAACAACAGCAGCACGTTTAAGCTTGATCAGCTGTTGTTAGAATTTATTTAATATTAATTTCTAGTACAGCTGATGTTTGCTGGAGCCACAGCTGTAAAGCTGCTGGTCATGATGTCGGTTTGAATATGTGGTAAGAGGGAAACATGAAGATGAAACCAGGAGATGTCCTTACTGGATCATCAGAGCTGAACAGGAATGGAGAAACAGGTTTAGCTTTTAGGTGACATGAATGAGTTGAAGGGAAGTTATGAACTGTTTCTGAGAGACAAATAACACCAGGATCCTTTTCTAAGTAGCCGACAGCTGGTAACTGTGCAGGGGCGGATCTAGCAAAGTTTGGCCAGGGGGGCGAGGTAGGGCATTAACAGGGAAAGGGGGGCACAAAGAAGTACTTTTCTTTCTTATTCTCATTTAAAATATCTAAGTTTTAATAAATACTTATCTGAATCTTACAACCAAAGTTTTTATCTGATATAAAATGTATAGAAATCATATATATACCAACAAGACTGTACATCACTGTCACAACAGCATTTGTTTTCATTCAAAGGCTTTATGGCTTTTCCTATAATACATGGTGGGCCGGTCTCTAGTCAAAATGCCCGGTTTTTTGTCCCAGTCCAGCCCTGGGTGGAA